ATGTAACATCTGTCATACTGTAATCTATTCCAATGTAAGAATTTCTGCACAGTAGCTGTTCAAGGTGCACAGTGACTGCACATTGAAGTATGTATGGCTGAGGTAATGGTTGAGTAACAACCCAACTTTTAAGAGAGTTTCTGAATTTCAACTGGCATCAGTTCCTTGAGATTTTTTCACAGTGCTGGGTGTGAATTGTTGCCAGTTAGAGATGGCACTTGGCATCTATGGAGAGCTACCTGCCATACTTTTTTAGCACATCTTCCACATCATAAGCCACCAGTCATGAAGGTGTAGGGTCTAGTACTGAACCTCTATCATTACTGCACCCTCCAGTATTACCTACATTCCTGGTGGCTGGTGGTGTTTGCATTCCACCCATTTGTGGTAACATTTAATGGCAGCATGCAATTTTTATCATTCATGGGTGTAATGTCATTGAAAACTTCTTGCTGATGTACTAACAGTTTTCATTGTATATCACCCATTTGCAATAACATCACAAAATTCCATGTGATGTTACCACATATGGGTGAAATATATGCAACTCAGAACTTTTTGTAGTGTAGTGGGTATCTTCTGAAAGTGTGGCAGGTACCTCACAATATGTTCCAAGTGCCAGTTGAGCCACTTTTGTGCATATTGGATCTCTTCATTTCTAAAATCACATTGATGTGAAGTCATTTACGTAGGATTAGTAAAATAACAAGAATATGGACTCTTATAAAATGGTTTTAGCTATGTAGATTTCTTGAGTAAGGTATGGCTGAGCTGCTTTGTATACTAATAAGTTAACTCATGTAAACACAAGAGTATCCCAAATTATTATGGGGAAATGATAGACCAATAATGGGTGATCAGTTATCTGAATTAATTGGGCAGGATCTGAAGGACTACTAACTATGACCTGAACAATCTGTGATTGGCCAGGGGAAAAATGAGCAGGGAGAATAAGGCTGCTTGTATAGATGAATATGGGGAGTGGCCAACTTGTGGGTGGAAAGAGGAAAGAACAACATGGCAAGAAATGAGAAAAAGTTGAAAAATTATCAAACTGAAACAATATGGACCAACTGGTAGACACCAATAGAAATGAGTCAAATGAGATCATAGCTAAGTAGGGATGAAACGCCTCACAACCAATGAGGGAGGAGTAATGTACCAAATAAATATTTAAAATAGCATAATGATTACTAGCATGAGAAAATAGAAAAGTGGCCCAAAGTGGAAATAAGACTAGAATGAAATTGGAATAGCTTAAAACTCATGCAGTGGCCAATAGTAGAAGACTGGAGGGAGATTGATGATGTTTCACATGAGACTTGTATGCAATGATGAAAGGAGAATCCAGTGTGTCTTATGTCCAGGGGACTTGTTCTTGTGATAGGTTTTGTGTATCAGGTTGGCTGAAAATTTGGTGTGAGGGTTTGGATTGGTCCTTGAGGGTCTTGACTGCCTGTGTGCTTGATTTTTTGCTTGAGGCTTTGATCATGTGTAACTTTTATTCAAGATTAGCTTGCCACAGTGTAGTGGCCAATCATTTCTGTAGGTAAGGTATGACCTTCTAGGAGGGAGAAACTTAGGCCACTAGGGAGAAACTTAGGCCACTAAATGATTTCAATTGGTTTCCTCCTGGTTGATACTTTACCATTCTTGAATCCTGGGAATACTGGCCTTCACACAAGCCAGTGAAAATTGGGTTTCCTTAACACAAAGCATTTTCAAATGGGTGGTTGGAATCCACATCTATCAAGGTGTGAGGTATCCCCTTCACCTTGCCTATATTTATTGGATGCATAGATTGAAGCTTGATTGGTGTTCAGGCCTACACACCAATTAGAATTAGTGTGTATGACCACACACAGATTTCCAGGCTGGGGCCAGACCAATCAGTGTTCATGCGTCCAAACATGCAAAAAATAATGAGTGTGCTGTGTCCCTTTTTTTTATGTTCATCATCACCCAGAAAAATTATCATTTTGAAAAACACGTTTGTTGTTCACCTACCCCCTTTGAGAAACCATTGGGGGGGGGGGGTACACCATAGGGCAGGTTTTTAGAAAAACCCCATGGCAATTGGATGGATTGTGTCCTGATTGCACGGTGTAAAGCTCAAAAGTGTTTGTGAAAACCTTTTGCTGAGTGTGGAAAGGGATGAATGAGGATACCTCTGCCTTTCCTGGATCACTAGACACTAGACAAGCCCACCAATCTCAGATTGGAAGGTTTAATAAAGTGATAGTGGAGTGTATCAAAAGATAACTGTGGCTTAACAGGTGGATAAAGGGTTTAACCAAGTTTTATAAGGGTCTAAAAGGTTGATTTGAGAGTGAGAGAGTGAGTCTAGCTGATATTTTGATGGTAAGGGGATGGTATGTAATGGTATGTAAGGGTTTGTAAGGGTAGGGGGTATGAAATAGGTGGATACTAAACTGAGGGGAAAACAACTGAGAGGAGAGCCTCTTAAATACACAAAGGTGAGGGATTTTAGCTTCAGAGGAACAAGAGAATGAGAGATTTTAGCTGGCCAGAGCTTTACAATGAGGGGATTTAGCTAGTCAGAACATGTACATGAGGTATTTTGGCTGGTTGAGCAACCTACATGATGTCATAAGAGTTATTTTAGTTTGAACTAGAAGTCTACATGAGGGTTTTATGCTGGTGTAGCATTTTACATGAGGTGATGTACTAGTCTGCAAGCTAAGGTGAGGTGATGAGTATTACATGAGTGGTGTGGGATAGTCTGACAGCTGCAAGGAAGATTAACAAGTGACATAGCAACAGGACCAGCCTAGAAGCTACATATATCGAGTGTCAGTAGATAGTGTAGTTGTGTGTATACCTGTACTATAATGATGTGAGTATGTAGTTGTCCTGCAACGTGCATGTGTGTAGTGTGAATGTTGTAATTTGTTGTTGGTGTTAAGTGTTGAAGTGTTGTCATGGTGGTGAGTTGTGTAATTAAGTGTAGTGATGGCCCAGAGAGTGTAGCTTCCAATCCAGTTGAGTTCCAGTGACGCCTCCAGTGGTGACCAAGGGTGAAATTGACCATAGAATCCAGTTCTTGAGCCATATTGGGTGATTTGTGCGTGTATATGAGAAAAAAGGTGTAATTGCGTAATAAAAGGTAGAACAGTATAAAATTTTTAAATGGGCCAGATGGCTACCCTTAAGGTATACCACAACGGAAGATGCTTTCAACCATCCAAGGGATGCTTGGGTGTGCCAGGCATAAATTGGATGCTTCAGAAAGCATCCGAGGGATGCTTGGGTGTGCCAGGCATCAATTGGATGCTTCAGAAAGCATCCAAGTTATGATCAGCAGGCTAGACCATCCAGAGGATGGTAGAGAGTCCACCACCCATTGGACACTCTCAATCAAGTGTCCAATGGACAAAAGACCCCATAATTCTCACAAAGGACTGGAAACAGGTTTGCCCTATGAAAATTCAATGGCCAACAACTCTTTTTATACCACCTTGGAAAAAATTCAGACAAACCATTTAGCCTAGAGATGGCACTTTGCAACCGGATAAATTTGTTGGGTGCAGGTACCTACCTGAAATTTCACTGATTTTGGACACCTGCTGGCCGATACCTGTTCTCCCTGGTACCTGCCGGCAGGTTGCAGGCACCCACAAAGAGTTTCAAACAGCCACAAAAAGGCTGTTTTGGTCCCAATTTATGGCCAGGTACATGTGTGGAATTTCTTGCACCTGTACCTGGCACCTTCTGAAATTTAACTGTCACACACTGGCAGTTAACCTCCAATGGGCACCTGAAGCCATCTCTCATTTAGCCCAAATTATTTGTAGAGCTTTTCTGGGCACAACCCCCTACATTAAACATGGATACCCTTTTGCCCATTGAGAAAGATGTATCCAATGATGTTTCATTATATGACAAAAGTTTTCATTTGAAAATGAATGGTTAAGGATTAGAACCTTCACCTGAATTCAAATCTGACAATCCTGAAGCACATGCAAGTTTACCCACAGATCTTTTCCATTGGGCAAGCCAGGTTGCCCATGCTGGCTTCCACAAACAATTACAAAGAGGAATGCCTTTTACCACAACATTTCTAACATCCATAATCAATCCCAGTCCATATAATGATTCAAAGTTCAAACCAACTTTTTTGGAACAGGATTTGGGTGTCTGCAATATGGATCCCAAGGAAACCCTCAAATATTCCAACACACTTGATGAATTCATTGGTCCTCAGAGAGATGGGACATTATTTTCATATAAACTCCTTGACCAGGAAATGAAGTTTCAAAATTCTTGAACCTCAATTAACATCTTGACATACTCTTCAAAATCTCATGTTGAGCCTCCTCATTCTTCTCTGCCCTTAGAGAAACATAGAAGAAAAGTGGTGCCAGTGTTGATAAGAAAAAGTAGAAAAATATTTTTCCAATCCAATGTTTTGATTCTGATAGAAATTCTGAAGGAATCTCATCCAAATCAAGAAGTCCTTCTAAAAGGAAGAGTTGCGAATTGACTGGAATTCCAGTTGTCAAGGCCGTCCCCGGGATTCGGGTGACACTGACCGGTAGAACGGATGGTCGAAACACCCGACCCGAATCCCGGGGACGGCCTTGACCGCGGCCTTTGCCGCGCTTGGACTCCCCCGTGCAGACATGACATCACAGCCGATGCGTTTTTAGCTTCTCGTTTTGTATGCGCCCGTCCAGATAACCTCCTCTAGAGCGAGCACGTGAGGTCAAGCCACTTTGTTCAGATGATCCATTGTCTCGATTGGATGAGTCTGCTGACGGAAGTCTCTCTGTTTTGAACAGAAACTTCTCGACAATCCGAAAGCTGATCGAGAGTATTTGTTCACTCGCACAAAATGCCCGAGTGCCCGCTGATCAAGTAGCGACATGTGCCGACTCGCGTGCAGAAGAAAGAAAACATCACACAGACCCAAGTGCAGCTCATAATTAGCCTGGTTGTCCGATTACCGGTTTCTGAGGATGTTGGCTCTGCCTTGGCGATTCTATTCAACTGGAGGCTGAGCCGCTCAGAGATTGTCCTGATTGGACAAGCTACTTGGGGCACTTGGGGGAGTCAAGCGCTTTCCATCGCGTCCATCTCCTCACACCATCCCGTCCTCTATAATAATAATTCACCCAATCTAATCAACTCTTTGCGCACGTAACAACGTCCCCTGTCTCATCCCGGCACTTTCCTAGTCAACAAACTGGAAGAAAGTCCGAAGAGCTATCCATCTCAGCTTGTGTCTGTTGCCCTAAATCAGTATTCGAAAAAGCTTAATAACCAGAAACGTAGGCTGGTTCCACCTCCCAGGCACCTGTCATTCCCTCAGACCATTAACATCCCCTTTTCAGTCTAGTAACGCTTGGAACCCCTCAGCAGTTAATCAGACATTTCTTGTTCCTTTTGGTCCCCTCACTCATCATTCTCCAATCCATACCACTAATACCTACAAGCTTGGCCGGCTGCTCCGTGTATGGTGAGTTGGACGTCCGCATGTACTTTAACAAAATTAATGGCTCACCTTTGCATGTGCAATTTTACCAGAAAACGATCATCTCCAGACCTATAAGATAATAAGAGGACCGTGAAAGTTTCCAAGTATGTCGTACAGCAGCCCAATGAAGATGATGGCGTCGAGAAGCACGAAGACCTCCACAATTCTTTTACCCGGCAGTCAAGGTCAGCCCAGATGATTTTTTAGCCAGAGCTCAATGTTTTTTTACACTGCCCCGACGTGCCAAAAAAGAAAGAGAAGAAACTCAACTGACTGGATTCCACTGGACAGATAACAATTCAGGATTTCCGGAGTCGCGCAACCGGAGAAGGCAATCTTTCATGGCGAATCCCTTGGAGTCACTGAAACTGACGGTATCAAGCATCGGCAGGAAATCTGAAGAGCCAGCCCGACAAGTTGAAGCAGAAGGACAAGAAGAAGAAGAGACTCTATTGCAAGACGCGACAAATATCCCAGCAAGGACATCGTTTGATGTCGCTCTTCCTCAGCGCCAAACTCAATCACAAGTTCGCTTCCAACAGAACGCCAGACAATTCCCCGAAGACTGGCAAACTAGTCTCACCCCTCGCGATAGCATTCTCAGAGATAATCGAAACAGAAGGCAATCGTTCTGTGCTGCCCCCACCTCTAATAAGCGCATCTGGAACTCCCTCGGCGCGCGTTGCAAGTTCTTCAGACTCGTTGTCGTCGCAAGTCCATCTCTACAACGTCTTGCTTCACCCCACACTTAAGCTCACATCTTTTACACCTTATTCTTCTTTATTGTAATTCAAACCTAGCTTCCTTTGTTGTAAAGATAGTTAGTAGACATTCTGGTATAATGTACCTTATCTTTGTTCCCACCCTCATCCCCGTTTATCCTTCCCCCCCCCCCCCCCCCACATCATTGTACTTGTGAATCTTATCTCAGACAGAAGCACGAAATGAAGCTACCGCAAAATTTCGCGGTTTTCTTTTCCTTGGCACGTAGCGAAGCTATAATCGCGCAAGCGTTTGTTGGGTATACAAAACCAATGGCTGAGCACATCAACACGTCATGCTCTGCGTTACTCTCTTGTAGCTCGTTCATTTTTTACCAACCAGCCTTATAAGATGTTCTAACCTACCTTGTTACGTCCAAATAACGAACCCCGTCTGTCCCATACAATGAATCTGTCTCTCTTCCAAGTTCTATCACCACTTGTGGTGTGAGGTTGCTTCAACCAAGCCTCAGAGGTAGTGTATTTCAAGGCGCATGTAGACTATGTACCTCAGAAACCGGACCTGCTAGTTTGAAAGGATCGCTCTCTTTCTGAAAATTAAAAATCGTGCATCATAGCCACCACCCTCCTTTCTCAAGGATTGACAAATGACATCCAGAATCAGATGATAACTTGCTCCTATGCCCGAATTTCGGTGACTGCATATTCGTCAAGCTCTCATTTTTGTCCTTCCTTCTGGGAAGTACTTCCGTTAATTCCCTATTGGTAGAAAACTCGTGGCCTGAGTCTGAGATGATACACAAGGGTTTTCTGTGAGGGTAACAATCCACAGAATTTGATTAAGATCCTGATCAACTCAACAAAACTGGCGGAGTCACCGACTCCCTGAGAAATTCTTGGCAATTTGCATGGGATGTCACCACTTTGGCGGAATGGTACTCCATGATGTAAATACATGCTTGATTACATTTGTTGACAGGGCAACAGCGGATAGCATATCTTCCTGTGCCCTCTCTTGTTGATGCCAATTTTCTGTATTTGTTTTGGGTTTGTTTCGACGATACATGGATTGCTGAGTTCTCGAGGCCAGAACAGGCTCAAAGATTTAATGTCCCGTAGCTGGGCATGGATCTGCGTGTATATACATGCTTGGTCATAATCAATCGGATCTAAAAGTCGGCCGATAGGATAGAGAGTGAGAAGAGAAATGGAGGCGAATCTTTAACGAAGGAGGACGGCTAACTGGTTGAGTGAAATAACTAATAAGGCTGCTGTAATTTAGGTCAAGGGGTATAGTGATGGCGCTCGTGGACAAAAAGGAAATAAGTAGAGCGAGGAAGGAAAACAAACGGCCAACAAGGAATCAGAACAAGAGCGTCTTGATATGTGATCCTCAACTAAACAATCCCACCAACACTGATCAAAATGTGTGACACATAATGGCACACGCAGAAAGAAGAAGGAGAAAGTAGATAGGGAAGTACGATGGGTTGCGTGTTCAGTGTGTTGGAAGAAGGTGCCGAAAAAGGAAGTTGGGGAGATGTAGTCCGAGAAAAAGGATGCATTGGATAGGCGAAGTGAAGTGAGAGAGAGGGTTGAAGAGATGCATGAGACGTCCTCGAAGAATAGAAAAGGTACGGGAAAGCGAAGAAGGGGGCTCTATTGATGAGAGGGGTAACAAAAAGGGTGCATGATTAGTTGGAATTGGGAGTAGGAGAGGCGGGGACAAGGTTAATGTCGGGAGAGGTTGGCGAGCTGTTGAGTTGACCGGGCTGGTTCGAGATCCCGGCGGCGGGCATGAGCATGGCGTTTGAGAAGTATCCAGTGTTACGCACTCCACGTGACGTCTCGGCCTCTCGTGCATCCGACAGATCGATTGCTTCTCGTTCATTCAATCCACATTTCGTGCATGTTGCCTATTTGTTCAAGAAAGACAAAAAACCAAAGCAACATGTTCAGCTCGGTTCTCTTCCCATCTCATTACTTCTTTGGCATGTCTGGCTTGAGGGTTTTGAGGATTCACTTTTCCCTCGTCGTCTACATCCTGGGCCGTTTTCGAACAGCATACTTGCTCGAAGAATGGATTGGCTAGGGCTGCGCCTGAACATGCCCCGACGTAAATCAACACACCCCAATGTCAGACGAGGGTTCCCAGATCATGTGGATGTATGCGCGGGTAAGAGCAAAACAGACAGACCCTCTGATAGGAGGCAGGAGCAAAGTGCATAACACTATTCGTATTGCGACCGATATGTTGTGGCAGAGCGTGTTGCCGGAAGGAGAGAGTGACGAGGGTGACGATGGTCAAGATCAGATAAGCCAAAGGTCAGCCAAATACATCATCCATCCTCGAGTGAAAAGAAAAATAAGAAGTGAAATGGTAGGCTGACCGGGAAACAGCATACACACAGGCATTTATCGCAGCCTGTCGGTGGTTTCTTGGTCTGAAAACTGATTTGGTTGATTGATTGATCACGTGGTTATTCAGGAGTCATAAGATTATGATGATCAAGTGGGACAGGGATAGGTTAGTCAGGATTTTTGTTGTGTCTTTGTTGGGTTCAGGAATTGTAGTTTGATTTACTTATGAGAGCTGTAAGCCGATGAGTTGTCGATCGAGAGGAATGATGATGATTGAGATAGGAGGGAGGAGTCAGTTCAGCAGGTGATCAACCTCTTGATAATAAGATGTTTCGACTGACCCTCCTTCATCACAGACCATATGCGCTTCAAGCTTTACTTGTTCTTTGTTCTTCTTCATCGTACGTATCTACTTTGTGTTCTAGTGATGTGAATGTTCAGTTTGATGGTTATGTTAATCGTGCTGGCGTTGGTGTATTTTTTTTTTCTTTCTTCTTGTTTTCTCTTCAGAATCGGATGAGTTGGTTGATCAGTGGGTGCTGTGTTTTGAATGTGAATGAAAGAAGTGAAAGAAGGAGTGTCGACTGTCGAGGTTGAAAAGAGAATGAAACGTGCTTCAAGCAGAGCACAGCGTAAGGCTTTCGAGGTTGAGAAAAAAAAAAAAAAAAGAAAACAGTCGGAAGTTGAAAAACCTTTTAAAACCAACCAACCGCTGTTCTAATCGGATTATGTAAGATCACCCCTTTCCTCATGCCTGTCAGATCGGGAAGTGAACTGTCACACTATGCGGAATCTCTGCTGTGCTGTGCGAGTCATCCTCCTTATCACATCACAATGCCACGCCTTTGAGCTCTATGTAGAACGCTGCATCAGGCTAACTCTGTGTGAGCACTTAAATTAACAAACCTTCAAGCTGAGGGATAGCTTGAACCCCAAGATTGGAATCTGGAAATGAATCTTTGAAAACATGAATAATTATTTTGGGTTGAGGAAGATGTGGAGATAGGAAAATATGTAAAAGAAAAGAGAGAGTAAGAAGAGAAAAGAGCAAACATTATAGAATGAAGTATTTGTGTTCCAAGCTGTCTGTAGAATGAGGATCAAGGGATTTTCAAGGTCTGATTATCATGGGAATATAGCTCTATGAACCTAGAAGAAATGCAAATAACTAACAATGTATTCATGCATTCAGAATTGATATAATGAGAATGGTGATGGAGTACAATATGAGTTCAAAGAGTTGATCTTATGTTCAGCAAGGTGGGGCCTGGGGATGCGGTAGAAATCAATCAATATGGATTTTCAAAACATTATCTTTCAAAGTTTGATTCCAGTGCTTCAGAAAGCTCTCTCGCCCACTAAAGAGTTGCTTCAGATCTTGTTGTTCTCCACCAGATTCAAACCAACGTAACAAGAGTTGAATTCCAACATCCAGGAGCTCCCTTCTATCTTTTCTTTGTGTCAAGCTTTGGATCAAGACTTGGTGAAATTCAGGATAAGATGAAAGAGTTGGAGGATTGATCTTGTGTTCAGTTGTGATGAAGATTGGGCTGTTTCCTCCATAGATAAGATCTTGAACATAAGCTGAGAATTCTTGATGGATCATATTCATCTCACTAATAGTTTTCTCTTTATTCCAGAAGGCTGGTGTTGTGAAATATAGATGAGAGGGAAAATTGATGAGTTCCAACTTATTTTCTAGTACAACTGATGTGGCCAAGAGACTATCATATTGTAAGACAACACCACCAAAATAATATCTAGATCCTGGATAAACTTTTTCAGTGAATATCAAAGGTGAATGTTTTCTTGAGTTTGGAGCTTTGGTGATCAGATCATCTAGATTTCCAGTTTTCTGATACAAAGTGTTCATTTTACTAATGATTCTACGTTGAAAAGTTTTGAAGTCCCGTTTTGATTGATCAGGATGAAAGAGAGAATCAATATTATTAATCAATTCTTCTATTGTACTCAGTGTGAATTTTGAAATTCCCTTGGTAGAAATCAATTTGGCTTCAGTTTTAGTGATCTTCTCTTGATACCCCTTCTCAGATATCTTCAGAAGATTCCTCATATGTCCCCAAAATATTTTGTCATTGTAGCCAATTGATCTTTGTCTTTCTGGATGGTGGGCTTTTTGCCATATTCCAATCAGGTAGATTGATTCTTTGAAACCTGCTCCACTCCTATTGATCAGTGGATCAATGCATTTGATTGCAATTTTCTTCAATGGGTGACTATCTGGAGTATCAAAAACAACAGAAACAAGCCACTGGAAAAACTCATCCTCATTTTTGACTCTGTCTGCTTCAGACTCTTTCAGTGATTTGGAAATGGCATTCAAGCTGTAAAAACTTTTTCTGATTATATTGTGAATTGATTTCCACAATTTGTTTTGATTGGTTTTGTTTCTTCTTGCATGAGAAATCAATTCTTGAAGGATTTCACTGGGTTGATCATGATCCAAATTTGGATGCATAGATTCAACTTTTTGGCTGTATGGTTTTTCATCCTTCAAATTATCATCATGGGAATCAAGTTTATAACCAAGTCTTTCAAATTTCTCCTTGAATTTATCCAAATATTTTTTTGTATATTTTTCATCATAGAGTGTTACTGAGATATGTTTCAGGCTCCTTTCTAAAATTCTTGTTGGTTCTTCTAAGAATATAGAGTTCATATCCCTTTCCCCTTCCTCAATCTTCCCTTTACTATCCTTGCGGCCAATTGAGGAACTGGAATTTGGATCAGGAGGATCAAAGTGGTTTGGTTCAACTTTTGGTACCTTGAATTGATGATGTTTACTTTGGCTGCTTAACAGGGTCATCTCCCTTCCTGTCAGGTTTTCATTTTCAACAGGTTCTGACTTCACTGCTCTTAAGGCTGAACTTGAGAGCTGATGATTTTGGCCAATGTCTTCAGAAGAATATCCTGTGAGTAATTTTCTAGAGACCCTCCTACTATCTCCCTTGTCTCCAGCAATTTTCCGTTTTAAATCCTTTGGAATAGCTGGAGGTCTGAGAGCCATTTCAGAGGGGGACCATTCTGTAGGCTCAATTTTAGGATAATTGGATTTTATCTGGTTGCTTTCTGGCTCATTCACATTTTTTTCAGTTGAGATTATCATGTCCTTTTGATTCTGATCCACATCCATGGGCTCTACCTTCAATTTATTTCCTGTTTCAGTTGACCTTTGGTGATATTGATTAGCTTCCATGGAGGATTTTCTTCTGGGAAGAGTGCTCTGAATTTTCACTTCTGGAATCTTAGATTTTGATTGGAGAGAAGTTTCCAATTTATTTGAATCATTTTGAAAAAATGATTCTGTAGAATCAGAATCCTTCTGGGGAGATTGATAAGTATACTTTGCTTTTGTGAGCTGTTGATTTAATTGTCCTTGATCTGGTCCATCAAGTTCAATCTGTGGATTATTTTTACTGGGGAGGGACAATGCAATCATCTCCTTTCCACTTTCATCCATGGCTTTTTCAGGTGACAATATATATTCATCTTTTGTTTCATTTGAATGTTGCTCACTCTGCAAACTCTCCTCAGAGGATTCCCTACCAGGAGCATTCTCCTTTCCATCTTTCTTGTTTTGTTTAGTCCTCTTTGCAATATCATCAAGAACTTGAGGTAATCTTGTCACTGAGTCTGAAGGTTTGAACTGAGAAAGAAGACCTTTGGTTAGGGCACTTGTAGGTGAAGCCTTGGGAATACTTGCTTTCTCTAAGCCACTATCCTCCTGGGGAAACTGTTCAGCAAGTTGCTTTGATTGATTTCCTGATTGACCTGCAGAAAAAATGAGGGATTTATCATAATGATTTACATCTTGGGACAAATGAGGTGGTTTGTCTTTGTCATTGACTGGAGATACAATCGAATCAATTACATGTTATCAGCAAGTTGTTCAATCTCCTCTGCAAAGTGTTTTCCACAAACCTTCAAAGCCGCGAGTGCTGTCTTGTGTGAGCGTCGGAGAAGGTCTTTCCCAAGGATGCCGGTATACCGTTGAGGACGGCGGTCTGTTCCATAATCCACTGAGTTCGCAGAACCATTCGTGGTCATCGTAAGAGTACTTGTGGTCATCTAAATGTTAAACAAGAACTTGAACATTTGTCTCGAACTAGCCTGCAGGAAGTTCCAATGCTTCACATACCCAATATTCTTTGCAGTTCGAGTTGTGTTTGTAGATCGTCGAGTTTCTCGTAATCAAACATCTGATGGTCTGAGCTTCTGTCATCACTAGAAAAACGCGGTTCTTTGTTTCAAAAGGAAATAGGTCAGGCCAAACAGAAATAAAATAGGAATGTTGTTGAGTTGTCTGAACCTTGTAAGCTGAGGGGTTCATTGTGTCTACAACTTGCTTACCAAAAGACATCTGTCGCACTGCTGGTGATGGATAATCATTTCCTGAATGGCTCCACAAATCATGCACCAGAACTGCTTTGCTTTGGTCGTTGATCAAATACTCTGGCCCTTCCTTCACGGAGGTTGCACATTTCGGTCCAATCATGCTCGCCGCAACGAGAGATGAGGTGGAAACCCACATGAGCATCAACACATAGGGCGGAGAAGGCATTTTGGCTTGAGCTAATTTGTCGAGTGAGTTAAGCAAAGACTTGATGGCTATTTATATTTTGGTTATACATGCGTACAAACTCTGCTTCATTTCTACGATGCTGCAAGTCACGGGCAAGGCAATAAGGAGTCTGTATATACTCCAAGAAACCCTTGGCGAGTAAACAAGTTGAAATTTTTCTTGCTGGCCAAAACCTGCGTCAATGAGCTGATCACACCAAACATGCCCATCTCACCGAGATTACCACTGCCCAAACGGCAGAACTACCCTGATGATACATGCGAGGGCGACTCCACAGCGGCTAGACTAGGTTTAGAATGCTTAAATTCACATACCCTTCTGTCTTGCTCCATCCTGTGATGCCAATGAGAGGTGGGTGGCTCATGACGTAAAATTGGTTACACTTTCTGCTCAGCTATGTAGCTTGTGTCACAGCTCTCACCCCCCTACATACTCCTTCAAATTCTGTATTGACCCCTAGAAAAATCTCTGCATATTTATGTTTTCAATATTTCTGCTTTGTTGACATTCTTGATTTTCTCTTTCATGCAATTCTAGGGAAAAAACTTGACTTCATACCCATTCCATAAGTGTGAATTTGCCATTTTTGTGTTAAATATTTGGGTGTTTCATCATCAAAATCAGATCCTCAATGTTTGAATGCAGATAACTTGAAGCTTTTTCACTCTTTTGATTATCACAGTGGTCAGCATATTGGTCCTATGGGAGCTTGGCATTGCTCAAAGTGTGTGTGGGGGGGGGGGTTATATAAAGTGTATCCATGACAGGAAATCAAACTATCCCCAATGGTATTGGCTAGGGATCATCATATGAATCAAGTATTTTACTATCCCTCGGCACAAGCTTAATGCGCTGAAAAGCCCTGCCATTGTTGGAAGTAGCACCCTTGTTTTTATCATATTACTATATCTCCTATTATCCCCCATTCCTTCAAAACCCTCTGAAAGATGTTTGATATTTGGGGATGTGACTCTCTTGCAAGTAGCAGGCAAAACTAGACATGAGGCATGAACCGGCCCAGTTGATTAAATCACGCAAGACCCGGTCTTATTGACTGGAACTTGGCTGTTTGTGTTCCTCTTGCAGTTACAGTGATTTGTATTTTACCGGAGCTCCCTCACGCGCCAATTTTAAAAGGATTAGCAAGTATTTGCAGGTGCCCGCGGGCGATGATGTATGGCGCATACAATCCGTAGAATCCGACTGGACAATGGCTGAAGTCAAACCTAGTCAAACGTTTGATGTCACTCGAGCATCAGTCAGGACTCAGCTTTGCGTCTCTATAGGTCTCTATCAAGAAACATAAGGAAACATATGCCATGTATGTTCATCGTGCACTTGCAAAGATTTGTAAGTATGCTTAGTCACCGATATCTTTCATGCAAGAATAAAACTGTCTGGGACGGCCTTGGTGCATATGAGGTTGGGAGCTGAGATGGTGACAATTGGTCAGCTTGAGCAGCATGTCCAGACTCTGGGGGAGTTGGAGTTGGCTCAGAGGTCAGCTATACACGTGGTCTGTTGAGGTTAGGCTGGTTGATCAAACGACGGTGACCACATTTTTTTTTTGAAGGAATCATCGAATCGGGATCCAACTGAACCACTCGGGCCTTATGAGTCCGATGTGCGCTTGGGTTTCTCCGGTGATCAACGCTTAATTAATTTGTCGTCAAGTTTGACTGCAGGGGGAGTTTTTCATTTTCACTCTGTCTCTGTTTCTCCCGGCTTATGCCGAGGAACGCAACCGAACTTACCGAGATGATAGATCTGATTGAAGGAAGACTTGGCGTGATTCTCTGGACTTACATAATGTAAGCTGGCCAATGGATGTCTTCCCGTCGGGATTTAGAGAGCTTTTTAGACCTCTCTCAGTCTTAAATTAAGAACGCAAACAAGATTCCAACCAGTTCATGTGAGAGCTATTGCAAGAAGGCTTGATAAAAAAGATTTTTTTGGATAAAAAATTTAGATCTGGTGGGTGTAAATCAACTTCTGGGAGGGTCGTAGATTGCGACGGGAAGTCATCCAATGATTGTTTGTTTCTTTTTTTCCTATTGATGTCTTTTTGCATCTCTTGCAGACAGATATTTGTCCCGTATTACAAAAATAACAGATGGGATCTCCCTGCGATTGGCGTTGGATATATGAGCCAAAGCCAGAGCCGCTGTGCATTAGTCCAAACCTCACCAGTTTTACATGTTTGGTTTGGCGCTGATGCTGATTTTCACTTGAGCGATTGAATGCATGAAACTTTCAACACAGTTTATGTAGAGGATGATGTCAGGATGTGACGGCTGTCTTATCCAGAAGTAAGACTCAAGCGCGATGAAAGTTGGATAAGCCTTGGCTTGAATCTTTCAGCTATGTGGCTGACTATGTAGGCTCTTGATTCTTAGTCAGAGTGATCCCAGTTTTTTTTTGTTGGAGACCAGCTGCTTCTGAAATTCACACTCTCGGCCACCATCCTCGGCTGTCAGCAGCAAAGAATCTTCGACTGACTGGTCGGGACTCGGAGTCAAGAAGAATTGCTCCATCGGTGATTCGGCATCCAATCCACCGCGATACATCGACAGGCCGTTGGGTTTACAATATATACACAGAGTTGCATCATACATCAATTAAGCGAGCAGTCGGGCATTTCTTCTGAGTTTACGGATCACAACTTGCACAAGCCTCTTTCAGCTTTTTTTTTTCTGTAGTAATGATTCTGTGTTTTTTTTGGTAAAAATAACCATATCCTTTGGCAACTGCAACACGCTTCTCAAGACATATTCACATTTTTTTTTTTTGCTATCATTATATACGCTTGGACGACGACCAAGGGCACAAGAGCCGAGAGTGTCTGTCTCACTTGAAGCCACCGTATCGGCCAACCGGGGATCCATTTTACATATTGAGGGCTGATCCTAGCCCATTCGGCCATTCGGACAATTCCCATCAGATCGACAACAACTCTGGACCTAAACCGTCACCACTTGACCGATAACAACACCACGAATTCGATCCAATCATCCAGACCCTCAACTCCAATCAGCCATCCCTATATCATCATCGCATATTGGCTTATTTATCTCGGTTTTTTTTTGCTCTTGATCCTTCCGTGTCCTAGTCCTCCCCCAGCTCCCACTTCATCACATTCTTACAATCTTCAAGTAAAAATAACTTAAACTGAACATCGACCGGCCTTATCAACAACCATCAGTTCAGCCTCGCCATCATCTAGCCAATCACTTTCAACCTTCAACCCAACTCTCAATCTCAATATAAGCTTCTTGTCTATTTCTACAACCACCATCCCAATCGCGTTTCCTTATTATCCATCGGTCAGGTACTGCCCCTCTTGTAATCCTTTGCTTTCTTCTCAACTCTGTCCTCTCTTGTTGTCCTACCCGGCATCCCCCAGTCCAACCAAGTCACAAACCGTCCACAAAAAAAAAACCATCAAAAAGAAGAAAAAAAAGTGTCACTAACTAAACCCAAAGAAACCAAACAGGTTATACAAAACCCGGTTCGATTTATTTATACAGCACTCGTCTCCTCAAAACCTTAAAACTTGTTCTGTTTCAACCTAATTCGGCTGAGCTGTCTTATACATATTTACCCTGGGTTCTCTCTCCATAACACTTCTCATACTCTTCTATGCGCTCATCATCATCAGCCTCTTCTTCCAAAACTTTTTCCGATTGAGACCTGTGCTGGCTCTAGCCTCCTTGAACAATTTCCCATTCCAATTATCTTCTGCACCCCGCCCAACTGCTCGGCACCGTTTTGGGCTTCCTGATTCACTTGTTTTGTCGCATTCTTTCATCATTCCCTGTTGCGCCGGTTCTTCCTTTCCACTCTTTTTTTTCGGTCTCACTTTCTCACAACTTAGAAATACTCGATATTATCACCGCCAGGAGGCTTTTTTTATATCTCTGTCGCCGTCTCTGTTTGTCCACCCGCCCGGTTGTATCCTGTAAACTTTTTTTTTGCTTTTTTTTCATTCTTCTCTCCCCTCCCCGCTTCCTTGGAGTCAACCAAACCAATTTGAACCAACCCAGCTTGTCGTTGGGTGTCCGCTCAAACAGGCTCTCGTGTTCAACTTCCAGAAGATCGCCATCAAGGTACCCCTCACCTCTGGTCTTGTCAATCCCTCACTGGTTGACCACCACTCCATTTCGCCAGTCAATCATGATCCTGCCACTGTCATCCAACCTTCAGCAGCCTCTTACTCCATCACCCAGCGTGTCGAAGCGCCACTCAACCAGACCATTGAGCGCTTCCAGTTCATCTAGCGTGAGTCCCCCTCGCTCCCCCCCCCTCTCTCTCTCTCTTAACCTCTCCCTCGCTTCCATCTTGACTCTCATCCACTATCGGCATCGAAACTGGAACCAAATCCCATCCGGCACTCTGCCAGATCAATCTGAAATGGATCTGCATACACTCACACTTCCTTTCTTCAAAGGAGTTGCAAAATTGTCGCGCTTTGCGTTTGCTATGTTGGGGGAGATTTGATTTGACTGACTTGCTTCTCTATTTATTTTCAAAAGAATTGGCAAATACCAAAAGAATTTGTCGGTCTTCTCGAACCCAGGGAGATTGTTCGCCAATCAGCTATCCATGAGATTATCACCGGAGAGGCCGAATATCTTGAGGACCTGAAAATTTATCAAAACGTAAGTGTTTTTATCTCACCTCCTCCCAAGCGGTCATACACCGGCTTTCAACTTTTCCTCTGCTTTCCAAATTGCAATGCTAATTCGCATCAACTTCTCTCTCACATCCCTTTAGGTATTTATTGAGCCACTTCAAGATCAATTGTCCCCTGCTATCTTTCAACCCATCGAGCTAGAGCGATTCCTAGACCAGGTCGTTTCAACACTTGGCGACATTCGCAAATTTAGTCGCAGCTTCCTGAAGCGTCTACGACAACGACAACAAGCTCAACAACCTTTTGTTGAATCAATTGGCGATATCATCCTGCCTGCCGTGCTGGAATGGGGGCCTGCTTATATCACATACGCCGCTGACCATCCTCTTGGTGAACTGGAGATCGAACGTCAGATCGACCAAAACCTTCTGTTCGCCGAGCACATTTCTGTAAGTAGCACTGTTGCTCAAACTTGCTCCAAACATTTGTTTAATCTTGTTGGGCCCGGGTTCCCTCTCGGCATTGACTTCTTGAATACGCACTGACTTGCGACTTATCTTGACCTTTTGTAACGCTGTGACTTTCATCAATTCTCACATCGCTTGGCAACATTATTGATCCATCTACTACGCTTTTTGATAGAATATCCCCCGCTTTAACTCACGCAAGAAAGATTTCCGACATTTTTACTCCCGGGCAACGTTTCGGCTGGCACGTTATGTGCTTCTTTTTACTCGCCTGCTCGAGTCTACACCTGAGGACCATGTGGATCGAGAACCCCTTCGATTGGCTCTCGAACTTGTGCGACGACAATGCTCCGAGTGCAATGCTGCCATTGAATCTCAGCAAGACATCGTCACGCTCATGAAGCTCAACTCAATGATTGCGCCAAAATCCGATATTCCAGTTCAGTTGATCTTCAACTCATTCCGCTGTTCATTAAAATTTGTTCTCGATTGGCCCCTAACACACCTATCTCCTTGACTCTCATTATGTTTAGCTCCTCCATCTTCACTCTTCGAACCGAAAAATCTACGGCAGTGGGAAAATGTTGCGAAAGAAAGACGGTGGCTCGGGCTTGGGAGAATGGAGTGAAGTCTTTGTAGTTCTATTTGATCACTACTTTGTCATGCTCAAAGAGAAAAAGGATGACAGCCATCCTCGATTTCGATATCACATTGTTGAACAACCGATCCGAACGGAATTCTTGAAGATTAGTGGTCTCACTCAGCCTCCTGAAAAACGGTCAAGGAGACTCAAAACCATCACCGACGGCTTGCGTGGTCACAACGCAACTCCTAGCATCAATTCAACTAGCATGCCCGCTCGCCGGTCGAACAGTGAACCTATTCATCGTCATTCTCATATTCCTACGACTGAACACTCGAATGAGACTGAATCAACGGCTTCCCTCCAACATTCTCGCAGTTTGTACCCCATGACCCTTCAACCCTTTGGTGATTCTCCCCGGATCCTCACTTTATATGTCGAGTCAGACTCTGCCCGACAAAACTGGCGCGAGCGTTTTGAGACTGCCATCAATCACCGGGTTCAATCAATCAAGACGTGCCATGTGTTTGAGCTTTGGCCAATGGCTCTGGAAACGTTTTCCATTCCCTCTTCATCTTCTTCTAGCTCATCCTTGGCCAACTTACCTAGCTTAGCTGAACTGAAAGTTCTTTACGAAGATCAGATCCCGAAGGAACTGCTGCCCAATACGGTACACCATGGTGTAAGCAGTTTGCATTTCTATGATAATTAGATGAAACCGGCCACTTACCGCTGATTCTTACCTGCAGGCTCCAACATGCTCCACGCCATTCATCGCCCCAGACGGTCGCCCGCTGATAGCAATTGGATGTAAAGATGGTTTATGGATTGGAAAAAGAAATAACTCCAGTTCATATAGAAAGGTTCTACCTGTCAAAAACATCATTCAGATTTCTTTCTTGCAAAACGAAGGATACATGATTGTGCTCGCAGGCCAAGTGCTCCTGGCCTATCCTCTTGAGATTTTGGTTCACAGCCCAGGTGGCAAGCTACTGCGACCTCCCACCACGCGTTCGGTAACAGCCAATCCTAACCCGACTTATTTACCCAAGCCTCCCCGACCAGCCGTTCCGTATCATCAGCAGCAACCCCACCAGCAAATACTAAGTCGCGCAACCTCGGCTAGTAGCCAACAAAGCGCCCGAAGTCGACAAAGCTACAGTGGCGCTGAAATGGAATCCCCGATCCCCGTGGGAAGGAGCTCACTCTTGCTCTCCTTGGGAATGTTTGAATTCGAGCGGCAACCAGTAAATGACGAAGAAGGCGTCCTCTCTTCCTCTGGCTGCGATGAAACGTTGGTTTCTTCAACCTCCTTTCAGAAGTTCTCCAGGGTTGGGGGTGTGGACTCCTGCGAATCATCCGTTCCTAGCTCTCCGGTAAGTTTAAGGTACCCGTTACTTGATCCGCCGGGAGGATGAACCCGGTTTTGAGATGATGTTATATTCTTGTACCCCGCGCAGGATTCTTCTTACAAACGTTTCCGAGAATTCCGTCCAATAGGTAATACCATGGGTATGCACAGAAGAATGACGAGTGAGAGTTGCTCAGACTCATATCGCCGAATATCCACCCTAGGGATTGCGACGACCCACCGGGCATCCATTCCAGGTGGTACTGAAGGCGAGCGCGAGAAACGAAGGGGGCTCGTTAAACTATCAGGGCCATCCGACAAGGTAAGATTCTTCAAGGTTGGACTGTTGGAAAATCGCCTGGTCGTGATCTGTTGAGTATTTCACTTCATGACCTAATTTGCAAAGAGAAAACAAGACTTACAATTATACAATTTTTACGTTTTTTTTTTTTTTTTTTTTTTTTTTTTTTTTTTTTGGATTAGACGCCGAGAAAGCTAAGGGAGGCCAGACTGCTTTCAAAATTTTAGAGCCTGACTCGGGATCCAATGAGCAAGCTGGTCATGCGTTCACTTTATTCAAGGAAAATCAAGTCAGTTTACTCTCATTCGGCCTCACTGCGTGATTATCCGTTGATGAAATTTGTGATGACTTTCTTTCTTGATGTTAGGAATTCACCCTCCCCTTTGAGGCACATGATGTGCTGTGCCATGAAAGCCAGAACAAGTTGCTCGTTTTTCATGGCAATCGTTGTGAAGTTCTCAACCTTGATGATTTGACCTCTGCTACCATTCCTCGGCTCGAAGAGAATCGGGATGAACCAGCATGCAACATCCTAATGAAGAGAGTTGAAGAAGCAAAACTGTTGAACATCTTACCAATCACTGCTAAGGAGTATTTGTTCTGCTATGATAGTGAGTCCCTATTCAAGTCTCTACTGCACAGACGAGAACTCCAAATTCACACACACGTTTGATCATCACAGAATTTGCATATTTTGGAAGCAGCAGTGGCAGCGTGATACGCAAAAAGTTTGAAAAGATGATTGAATGGGATGGACGGCCATCGGCGGTCACCAGGTACAAGGACTACGTCATCGGATATTCAGACAATTTAATTGAAGTTTGGGACCTCCGCACAAGTACCCGAGTTCAAATTATGCATGGCAAGGACATCCGATGCATTTATAACGGCGAAGGCGCTCAACAACGTAGTTTACATAAACCCCACTCGGGTCTAGACAACCCTTTGCCTCTGAGAATTGTCAAGGCTAATTCTATCAATCGCAACAGCTCTTGTGAATCAATCCAAGAGGTCGAACTCCTGGTTAACCAACTACCTCAGGTCGAAAAACACGATGCGAAACTGGGCTCGGACAATCATCACACTGGCTACGCGCATGATCGGCCACTCTCTTCAGAAAAACTCTCTCCCTCTCTTCTTGTCCAAAATCACTTTGAAAGTTTTCATGTCTCAATTCGCGACTCGGGGAATGCCTACAGGGTTTTCGAAATGGGACACGTCTCAACTTGAATATTTGTCAATTTTTGGGTATTTCTTCTTCATGTCATCTCTTTTTTAAGTTTCTTTCGCGAGGAAGGCCGGAACAACTCCGTCTTGGATTTCGGACCTCTTATCTGTCTTCCTTAGTTTCCTTTCTTCTTTTGGTTCTATTCCGGGCTCTTCTCTTCTCTTCCGGGTCTCTGCTTTCATTTGCCCTACATACGCACACATAAATCTACACCGCATCCCAATTTCTTTTCTTCTTTGCTCCACTTTTTTTTGATCTTCTTTCTTGGACGCCAAAATCACGAACCTCTTGCCATGCAGATCGACTAACAAACCAGCAGACTATCTATTATTGTCTTTCTATACATTCAAAAACACAAAGGCAGCTCTTGTCCCCATCATACAACCAAAGCTTAAACTGTCTATCCTTGCACATCTTTTTGAACCTTTCTTCTCATGTAACAATATTGAAGAATATATTCCCTTTTTTGTTTTCCATCATGTTTGTGCTTTAAGACCCAAATACTATTTAGATCATTACCACTTTAATTAATATTTTTAGCACAATTAAACCAATTTTACTTATCTTTTACAACTATGCATTTTTTGTCACTGTAATATTTGTCTTTGCCACTTCCAGCTTCTCATGAAAAATCTGTCATTTTTGTTTTACTTAGCCTGGTTAATTATTATTCCTTTGTAATTTATTTATGTATGATGATGACAATGATGATGTATTTATGTATGTATATATGTAAGCTTACCAAAACAAATCAGCACTCCAACCAATGAAACTCTTAACCATGATTGACATTTAACTTGTTAAATCTTGTAGCAGAAAGCTCCTCATACTCCAAAAATTCAATCCAAACTTGATCTGACTAATAGTGCATCTGAGTTTCAGCTGAGTGATAAAAGTTTTGGTGTTGCTGACTGGTCAATTGAATCATATGAAATAAGATCAGGGTTGGGATCATGAATAGAATATCATCTCTTCAACCAAACAATCCAAAACCAACAATAATTGGGGTCTTCAGCCCATGTTGGTGATATATTACATTCCAATGATGGTCTGTTTGGGGTACCAAATCAATGATAATTTTTCTATAGTTATCTGTCTTGGAATGAGTCAGTTACTTGGAACAAGAAATCAGTCAAAAGAATCCATGAATGGGTCACCTACAACTCTAACATCACTTAATTTGGCAGAAACTTTCAGCCCTAATTGCAATAATTCTTATCAGAGCATCTCCAGCAGAGCGGGGGTGGATTGGAATAATTTTGGCAGGCTCACCCCAACTTTCACATGCACTAGCAGGTCTCTCACCTGCAGTTTTTTTCCAAGGGACCCTGGATTGGGGAGGAACAATAGCCAGCTTGGACCAGATTTTTAGCAGGCCTCCTCCAAATTGACCAAGCACCTTCTGCAGAACACCAAAATCCAGAGGTAATTTGATCACCTTTGAGGTATTCTGGACCTACAAAAGCCCCTGGATCCATGTTTTACAGGCTAAAGATATGTACTCTTGGTTAAGCCCAATCAAAAAAAATTCAAACTTGACCAATAGACCCCCACTCTGCTGGAGATGCTCTTATTAATCGAAACTGAAGGTATTCTGAAAGAAATTTTCTTACAAGGTGACACATCAACTCTCAAGCAAATTTCCAGAATTTCTAGTAACAATCAGATTGTTGGGCCCAACAATGTAACAGATCCAATCCCCATATTGGTATTTATTGGGGATCAGATCAAAAATAGACCCGATACCGGGTATCGGGATTGGATCGATCTCCAATCCGATCCCAATTTATTGGAAAACTGGGATTGGGTGGAGCGATCCGATCCCAATACCCAGTATTGGGTCTATTTTTGATCTGATCAAATACCCTCCGGATTATACCAAAGCATGAGGCACACAGCCCACAGCTTTTGGGTGTTGGATTGGGATCCCAATCCCTATCCGATACCACTTTGATCCAATACCAAGGGATTGGATTGCTAGTGCAATCCAATCCCTTATTTTTCCATACCTGGTATTGAAAAAACAATCCAATCCAATAAATTGGCCAATACCGTATCAGATCGGATTGGTTTCATTGTTGTTGGGCCTCATACAAGTCCAGATTTCTCCTCCTGCCCTTATGAGACCTGTCCCAAGACCATTTCAATAACAAAACCTTTGGGATAAAAGAAAAACCATGAATAGAAATGTGTATACTTCCTGGATCAATTTCATCCTTTCCTTGTTGCAGTGTAAGCATGTTCTCTGGTAGACACTATGATTTAACCTTTCAATTCACAGAAGCATCTGTCTTACTTTTCATTCTGGATGTAGAGTTTTCTGTTCACACTTACTCAAAATTTCCTTCATGAGTCATCACTTGGCTGGGCTGTAATAGTGACAAAGGATCCAGGAACATGTGGAAATTCTTTCAATAGTATTTTGAAAAGTGTATTACTTCTTGCATCAAAGCCAACTTTGTCTTGAATGAACCATCCCTTCCAGGACATGTGTTCTTTTCATATGAGCATGTGTTTCAGATGCTAAATTCACTTTTTTTTGGTCAATAATCTATGTAGATGCATTTATCATAATAAGAACAGAAAAACATAGAAACTCAAGCTAATAAAAATCAAACTCAATGAAGACCTAAAAAAATCTGATAACTGGACTTTTAAGACACCACAATATGACATTGTTGCAGCACTGAAACAAAATAAAAATCACAAAAATGTGTTCTTTGTTGTGCTTCAGAAACACAATGTGGATTGATTCTCAAGAAAATCTAAAACTTTTCTCCAATAATGATGAGGATTGGAAAACCCAAAAGCCGCATCCTCAATTGTTTTCATGAATTATTCTTCTGGCCAAACTTACTATTTTTGAAAATTACCATTTGTGTAATATTTTTAGCCCACTTTTATGCAAATCATACATATCAGGTTGGATTCCTAACCAGGTTGCCATAGAAGAACTTATTCCTTGAATATCCTGGTATGATTTTTGAAATTTAGGATAGAGGTCTCTTGTCATTCTTTGGCGATACTTTTGCAGTGATTCCTTGTCAACTGAGTAATTTTCCAAGGTTTTTTTCTGGTTAGAGTTCAGATTTTTAAATGCCTTGGGTATTTCAATCAAATCATTAAGTTTTGAAGATGTCACCAGAATTGTGATGAAGTGCTCTGGAACTATATGAGGATCAATTTCAAGTTGACTTGCCACTTCCTCAATCATATCAGGACAGATGTAAGTTTGAATGAAACCCAAAAAATCAGCAATTTTCCTCGATAGAAGGACCAAGAAAGGACCTGTATTAAGATGAGGTATGTTGACTTGACATAATTCTATCAAACATTTCAGGAGATACACAACATCCTGTTTGAATTCATCTTTGTTTAGAACCAAGTTTTTCAAGATGGTTGGTCCCTTTTCAGATTCCAAATGTGTTGCATATCTTTGGCTTGAGAATGATTTACCAAATTCCTTCCACTCCACAGGGAAACCTAATGCATACATATCTCTCCATTCAGAAAAGTCTTGAGCTAACAATTCCAATTCTATTCTCACATTTGTTTTTTCATCAAGGGCTTCAGAAATTGTATCAGTATATTTGTATGCATATATATGAATATGAAAAGTCCAGGAAATTGAACCATATGGACAGAGACTTACCCTCAAAAAACTGTAAACCCAATGGTGAGAACCACTGTTGAGTAATATGTGTGTCATATCCACCAACAAGTTGAAGATTTGAAATCAATTTCCTCAATGTCAGACTAGCTCTTGTCAGAATCCTGTTGTCTTGAAACATTTCTCTTATACTGTCCTGGTTGATGAATTCATTCTTCCACAAGAAATCAATTGTTCTGAATAGATATGGAAGATACTTTGACAAAGCACAGAGAGGTGAATCTTCTCTATTTCCATTACAGAAGAAAACTTCATATTCAACAATTTCTTTCTTGATTTCATCCAAGATTGATAATCCAAATTCCCTCCCTTTTTGTTTTGCAACTGAAGAAATTTGTTGATGAGGAGTACTCTTGATCCATTCTTGGATGTTAGGGGTCTCCAAGTGTTCTGAAAGTTCTGATTTGAGTGATTTGGAATCAGGAGAAATCTTATCCAAGTACCCTAGCTCCAGAAGCTTCAAATCTTTCAAAATTAATATTTTCTTTTGAGTTTCTTCAACAAATATCTTATGCTTATTTTCTGCTTCAAGATATACCTGTTTGGGGTTTTGGTGTTCTTCAGAAAACTTTTTCAGCGCTTCTAAATCTTGAAAGAGCAAGAGTTGACTGTATTCTATTGAGGAAAATTAGGCAAAGTTATAATCAGTTGATGTTGAAACATGATTTGAAAACTCAGATGCAAACTGACTTTTAGATTTACTCTTCTCTGACAAAACCAAGAGGATCATCATCAGGGTTAACAAAGATTTGGAACTGATGAACAGAGCTCATGATTCATCAAATTTGCTCACCTTTCTTTGCAGCCAGATCATACACTTGGGTTACAAAATTGAATTTTCCATCAGGCATTAACCCTTGTTCCTGCTTATCCTCAACTTGGCCCAAGTTGGTATATTCTTTATTAATGTAAGTGTGAACTGTCTCAGAGGATTCCCCTGGTTCATTTTCTTCCTTTCCAAATGATTTGGGTTCTTATGAGATGTCCACAGGGAATGAGGCATGCTAAGAAATCAGCATCCATCAGGAAAGGTGAACATGTTTGTTTAGAAAATCTTATATGGCCTACCAAGATATTTTCCTGGAACACTTGCTTCCACCCCATTTCCATCTATTAGACTGTTTGATTTATCACCAAGGGACAAATCATCAGCAAGTGAGGCCAATTCATGAGAAGCTGCGCTTAAATCAAGAGTAGCTGAGATGTAGCACAAGCCCAAGAGCATGAAATTACAGATCATTCTCTTCAGTTTTGTATTCAGGGAGAATATCTTCAAGTGGCTATCTACTTGGATTGACTGAGAGGTCTGTCCCACCCTAACCTTCATCTTTTTTCCTCCACAAGATCCAGACATGTTCTGGACTTGGAAAATCTTTGTTAGAAAAACCATTTGTGGATCAGACTGGCCAGATGTAAAAATAAAAACTTGTATGATAATCAGTAGCCCTCTTGTTCTGTATCAGGGGAATATTTTACCCAGTTTCCTCAGAGCTGTATGTACAGATGGTTTCAGAACTTGTTTGTGGGGTCAAATTCAGTTAAACACCAAAGCATGACAAGACATTTTCTCCATCTTTCATCTAGTATGATAGTATAAGTAGAAACCTTCTAACCTACCCCAGAAAAAACTTCAGCTTTTCAGTCTTGACCTGAGTGCTCCTAAAGCCTGTCTATCAGGCCACTTGAATCGTGCACTGCAATGTATTATAAACTACGACCTCTTGCAAGGGTTCTTAAAGTTGAAACATACCAACATACATATGAGGCTACAAACAACATATAAACATTTTTTCTGCAGGGGTAGGTGGGGGTATGCATCTAGAATGGGGTTTGTTACGCAGGTATGGATTAGTGCACATAAAAAAAGCTATGTATTTGTGTATGTACAGCAGTATGTATGAGCCATATGTCAGCCCAATTTCAATTTTGAGAACCCTAAGTGCCTCTTGTTACTCTGCAATTTGCAACTATAACAAAAAAGCTTGCGGATTTGGAAGATTGAAAATAAAAAAAAACTCATATTCAGCTGGAATGTTTGGAAGTATACTGCCAGGTGTACAGTTTGCCATGTACTTGCCAGCGGTGCCAATGGGACCTGACCGGCCCCCATGGAGGGAGCTCGGCGGTGGCCAGGGCATGGGCTGGCATGGGGGCAGAGGTTGGTAGACTGAACTTTCCATCAGGATTCTGATAGTGTTACTCTCATCACCTGAAGATGAGTGGAAAAATAGATAGCTGATTTGTGCCAAGGTCATCCATACATACATGGACCTGTATTCTTCCAAAGCTTCCAACTATAGTCCGTAGTTTTTTTATTTTTTATTTATTTTCTGACTTCAGAGCCCGCAAGCTTTGTTGTTATGGCTGTATATTCAGCTTTACAAAGGTTTGTGTTTTGATTGAACACTTTTTTAAATATATGTATCTAGGACTCAGTTGGCCATGATGGAATATAGAATGAATGATACACATTTTCACTTTGATCAAAAAGATGTATTTCAGTAATTAGGCAGAGAGATTCAAGCAGGGGATCAAGATTCTCATGCATTTGGTAGTTCAAGTCAAGAAAAGTCAGGTATGGGTGAAAAAGATTCAAGATAAAGTATGCATGTCATACCATTTGGACAGATAATCAGATCAGAGAATTTTTTTTTTGGAGAAGTACAGAATAACAGAAAACAGAAAGATCCTAATGATTCAGGTGTGCTGATATACAAATTCAAGATCTTCGGTCATTATTTTCATTAAGAATGGAGCAGTAGCCACTAGATCTCAGGAAGCTGTTTTTGGGGCCGACGCTGGTTTCCCAATCCTTGGGGAACGGTCGGGCAGGAATCGGGTAACTTTTCTTCGAGCTATGTGTTGAGAGATGCGTAGCTGATGGGATGCAGGGTATTTTCATGTCGTCTTTCCAGCATATAGACTCATACGAAGGGGGAAGGCCATGGAGTTTTGGGCTCTTTTCTTGCGGCCGATTCGATGATTCTACGAAAATACATCAGAGCCAGAAGAAGTACTCGCTTAGTGTTGTTCGTCTAGCACAAATGGCATCTCAAGTCTTTCTCTCCAGCCTCGTTTAAGGAAAGGGTATGGCGAAGAAGCAGGTCCTTTAGGGGACCAAAGACATACCCGTGTTAGCGGCCTTGGCACGACCAAATTTGACAGTAACCCAGTTGTTGATGGCAAACCCAAACATTTTCATCTTCACTTGGGTTTTGGCAGGTGGATATTAGAGAGGTATACGTTGTGTGAATTGGACCAGGTTTGACTTCCTGCGGCCTGCTTGACTGGTTATTCGTGGATTTTTGTACGGAATTATTTTTGGAAGATAAGTATTTATGCTACATATAAGTCCAGTCAGAACAAGTGGCGAAATACCTACAGCACAGTACAGATTTTCTTGGGCTGTGAATAATTCGGCAAACACGCGGGACGAAATCAGTCCTACTCCGCAGTAATCGACGTATGCAGGGGTGAATATAGCGCATGAAGATGCTTACCTGCGATCTCAACTTTAATGTTAAGATTAGAGAAACCAGGAGAGACCCTCGCGATTTCGAGATGTGAACGGTTGGCTGCACTAGATATTTTTTGTTATTGTTTCGCTTGACGCGCGAGATTGAATTGATCAAGGTCGTGAGCTGCCAGCCAAAGTTGTCTCCTTTCAACGCGAGTAAAGCAGACTTACGAGTTTCAGATTGGGCTTCAATGGTACGATCTAGGTTTGTTTCAGCTTCAAAGTGGAGTATTATTATTAGGGGGTTTTTTTGAGGCTGTTTGGCGGGAGCTGGACAAGAGGAAACGGATGGATGGGGAATACGGGGAAGGCAGCTGAGGCCGTGTTCACAGCTTATAAATGTGTATTGATCTGAGGCTACCAGAGGGAAAAGAGCACAGAGGAGTCTGCGCGATACCAACATCAAGGTTAGCCGGATCTACACGCGAACCAGGTCGAAAATTCCTAGAAGAGGAAAGGCTAGTGCTACAGGTTCAGATGCAACAAGAATCCAGGAACATTCTTCTGCCAACAGGAACCACGATTAACAGCCAGTGACGAAACTATTGGACTGTATTCGTTCGATATCCATTCTACCGACAAATTGAACTCAGCATAGCACAATAGGATAGTGAATAGATAAGCAAACCGAGATAATATGTACCCTACCTATCGACATCGCCTAGTGCCGTAGGATTCAGTTGATCCACCCTCAACTCATTCCCGGGTACAACCAATCCCAAATTAATTGTGAAATAGGAGATTCAAGGCTCGATAGGAGCCATTAAGCCAGAGTTTGACTCCTTTCAAGGGATCTCGCTTCTGGGCCACTGAAAAACATGGAATGATCCATTTCGATCACTAGAATTATGGTCCTCAGAGTTTTAACAAAACGACTCCCCTATCCCTCCCCGCTTACTGTGGTCGCGTCGGCTGTCGATATCGATCCACTAGATGTCTTTCAAATTAATATTTCAATAGACGGTATCCGTGGGTTTATATATCCAGACACGGTCTCCAGTCAGGTTCAAATTTCCAAGTAAGAGAGACAAGATACTAATCCCCGTCAATGACCTCGGACGGTTTTAGAGGGATGAGCTCGCAAATTAGTCAGGTCCTACTTTCAGAATATGGAATCGCATCCAAATCAATCAGCTAGGCGAGACGGAAACACCACTTACCCCTTGACTGGGTTGATGCTGCTTAGCCATCAATTCTTTTCCGCTTGGGAAGTTGTCAGATTCCACTGAAATACGAGCTTGTACAGCCTCTCCGTCGAACGCACGAAGTGCGGGAGAGGCTTGAGCCCAAAACAAACACGCTTGCGTGTCACGGTCAAGTTTTTTGGCTGTTTTTTGCGCCAAAAATCCTAGGAAATTCAGCTTGTAAATTTTTTGAAAACTGAGTTGAGGTGAAGATGCCCAATATGGTGGTCTTGACTTCCATCAAGATATTTTTGAAAAAAATCAAAAACTACACAATTGAAGAATTTTTAAGGAAAATTTGCTAAATGAAAAGTTGGCTGAGCTTACATAAGCCTGTTTCAACCTCACTGCCTACCAGGTGAGAACATTTCCTCAATTTGACCAACTTGAAAAACATCCACCTCATCCAATTTCCAAGATAAAGCTCTAAAAATTGGATGAGGTGAGAGGCATCATGAGGATCTAAAATCCTGTCCACCCAGCTTGTGAATACCTCAAAATGTACAGGTTGTACATCCAACTGAAAGTCCATTACACCAAAACTGCCCAACCGTGACACGCGGGCATGTTCGTCTTTGTCTTAAGTCCCTCTTCCACGCCAGCCAAGGCCACCAGGCCCTCCGAATCGAGGGACTTTGATAAGTTCGACTGAAATAGCAAGCAGATATCCGCATCTGCGTGGATATCTGGATGTGACGGGCCATCTCTAATCTGTGAAAGGCTTTGGTTGAATGGAATTGAACCTAAATTAAACGGTACAGATCAACAAGCTGGATGACTCAGGTATGCAAAGCAAACAGTTATTTTCAAACTTAACTCTGAAGAAACATATTTTTTGCCTGAGAATGTAAGCACTTTTAGGTGAAAAGAAAAAGATGCTAATAACTCTGCAGCCATTTGAGATATTGGCACCTGGTTTTGGCCAGGTTGTAAATTTTGTGGCCATGTACTGATTTCTAATGTGATAGGTCAATCCTCAACACCCTTTAATTGAGGGGGAAAACAGAAGCCATCCTTGCTAACTTCTGTATTCATAGGGGGACACTGTTCTTCAGGAACCCTCCAAAGGAGATGCCTAAACTCTGAATACTGGCTCTGGAGAATTATGAATTTAGCAGTGAAAATTCTTAAAACACCCATTAAATGTTTACCTCAACAGCACCCATTCATGCATTCATGGAATTTTTCCTTAACAGAGTTGTCTGTATTTTCCTCTTCTCTCCATGAAGCCAATTCAACAATTCCTCCCAAAAGCTTAGTGCTTATTTCACAGCAAAGTATCCCAATTTCCTCTGCAAATCAAAATCCTTGTACACAATACTGTTTCATCCAATACAGCATGTGTACAGGCAATTATCAGATTATACATTTGAGGAATTTGAAAGAGGACTAAATGAGATAAAAAGAATCTGATAACATGATGAGAAAGAGAAGATTTGAGTGCACATTTTACTCAGCAACCATTGCTTTTTCCAAGGGGAAAATGAGATGCTGCAAAGATGTCAAACACAGGCTAAGAACAAGCTCAAAAAAGCCTCTTGATTGGAGCATCTCAAAGGGATCACACATTGCAAAGGGACACTATCCAAAGCAGAGGCTTGCATGATAAGTTGGAGCCTTGGCCTGAGGATTTAAGGATTGGAAGGTGATTTCTTGGGTTTTCACTTCAAACCTATGTGCAGTACAACAATTGTTCTTTTTTACTCATCCAAGTTTGTCTGTTGTTAGCCTAGCATCTGGGCCATCTTTTAAAAAATCACCCTGATATGAAAAAAATTGGGTCTTGGTTAAACCCCCCTTGTCTTAAGGGTTTCACAAGGTCAAGAAGATCAGATTACATAAGCTACTAGATGCACATAGCCTAGTTCTTCCCCTTTCACTTAGACGGTAGAGCTTCTCTCTCAACCATCTAGGTGAGTACTAGGGATTTCACTTTTCTGATGATCTTGTTTCCTTTCTCTTAACACTCAAAAGATGGTACTGAATTAGAGAGCTTCTCTCTCAACTGTCTAGTCTTGAAATAAAATCATACCTTGGTGCTAGAAGTTTAGGCTTAACTGCCCTTGTCCGCCTGTCCAAGTAAGAGACTTTCAGTGAAGAGTTGCATCTCTTACAGTCTCCTACCTCCATTTTAAGGAGTTCAGTTTGTGAGTTGCCAAAATGCAATGATGGGAAGTTACGTTGGCAATAACACTAAAATAACAATAACATAACGGAATTGGCACCATTATTGCTATGATAGCTGCAAAGGCCCTGCGGTTAATTTATCTTTTCTTATTTTTTTCTTTTCATTTCTGTTACATTATGAACCCCAGAAAACAGGCAAATATCAAACACATGAGGAGGGTTTTTGACCTGTTTTTCATGAGATTTGCCACAGATAATGCGGAAAACATGTTATCCGCATTGATTTTCCAGGTAACAAGGGGTAAAAGACTCCTTGTTATGTTGCTTGAGCCTCAAGAATGTAGGTTTCCCGGATAAAAATAACTTGTTATCCGGTAACACTGGGAAGTTACATTACATAAATCCGTTTGGATATTGTAACGTAAGTAACTTCCCATTGTTGCAAAGTGTGCAAAAACGAATATTAAATTGTTTTGTCACAAGCTTCAGATCATTGGATTCTACCTGCGTGAATGGATAGGAAATTATAAAATATGTCAAGGCACAGTTCAAAATACTCAGTGAGGTTTATTGAAGACTCTAACTTGAGTTATTGGGGCCAAGATGGTCCAATGGGGGAAGACCATTGCTACCCAGAGGCCTTGCAAGCTGATCTTAGCATGCAGGATCCAGGTTTGCATCCTGACAGCCCCCCCCCGCTCAGGAGTTACAATCCTCCATTAACAGATATTGATACATTGTAAATTTATAAATCTTGACCGTAACTGCAAAGGCTCTGACACACAGCCTCATTTTGGGCTTCCACCAACACTGCCACAGATACGGTATCTGCCCGTATCTGCCATGTATCACTATGTATCTGAGCCCCAATAAAAAAAAACTATCTGACCAATCTGCTTTTATTTGCAAGGGGATTCACCAAATTTGGTTTTTGGCCATGCAGCTTTGCAGAATTCTCCATGATACACACAGTGTATTGTATCTGTGGCAGTGTTGCTTCCACCATACCAGTATTACTATAGTGTGCAATGTCAAATCAATCAGCACTTAAATAAAAAAAACTTTGAGTTATCCCATGAAGAGGCTCACCAAAGAGCAAACATAATTGCACAGACAGCCATGGCTGTCATTGTTGTCATGAGAATTTTGGGCGGGACATAAGTGGGGAAATATCCAGCCATGGTCCAACCAGCGTGTGCATTTTGCAATTTTTATTAACCACAATATCTACAGATTGGGGAGGAGTAATAGGAAAAGGATAACATGAAAGTTTTCAGAAATATCATAGGCTCTGTTTGGCATTCCATGATATCATAAAATATCATAGGAAAATCCTGCAAATCTTTTCAGGGGACCACATTTGTTATCATAAGTGAAAATCATGTTTGGCTGGTCACACTACAGTTGTGTACAGCATAGACCAACCATGCTCCACCCTCAAAATTTAAATTGGACATGCATGCCCTGACACTTAATTTTATTACAATTTTGAACTCCTACAGATGTGTAGAGTTCAAAATTGTAAACACTATGTCAACATATCCAGGTTTTGGTGGGGGTTGTGAGCATACATGTTTGGGGATTGGAATCAGTAGGTGGTAGTTTTGGTCATGACAGGCTGTGATGCTTGGACCTGTGATCACAGGAAGGCCAGAGCTGTGTGGCAAAAATCAGCAGCTTGAACTGCTGCACAGCACCATAACACCATAACTTTAGTGCTTGGAGAACTTTGGTTTGTCCAAGAATTATTTAAAAGACAATACATATAATGGGACAAGCACAGATTAAGCCCATACTTAAACCCATAGTTATGGCTTTAAGTGATACATAATCATGGCTTTATACTACTTGTACACCCTTGCCTTTCACTGTTAATCTGCTATTCTAGTGTATTTTTTCTACACTCTGGAGGCTACAAACTGCTCAAAAAGCTGAAAAAAAAAACTGAGAATTTTGGCTCAACTGTTTGGACATCCTCAAAATCTGGGGTTGGGTTTCCCCAGAGAATCGGAGCCTGCGCGAAGTGCGGAAAATTTCCGCGCAGATATGGTAGGTTGCAGAATTTTGTACTGAGCTGTACAGACCAAGAGAGCTGTACAGACCAACAGGTCCATCCGTATTGGGAGGCGGGCTTTGGACTGGTTTCATCAGTGGGCTGGTGTCGGTCATGTATCATCATACAATAATAATTAAGGGTTTTTGAGAAAATGAGCACAACTACAGAAGCTGCCTGGATCTGTTAGTATGTACTGAGCTATTTGGGAGGGGAGATCGTCATTGCTCAACAAGCTCAATGATTCGGCGCGGGATTGGTCAGCGGACTAGGAGTGAGCGACAGAGAAGCGGGAGGACTGGCAATGGGCAGAGTGAGCAGTGGTACTGTTCCTTCTGACGGAGAGCGACTTCAGGATCCTGGCGCGCTCAAGGACGGTGGGGGTGGAGAGGTCATAGTGCTGTTATTCTCCCTCCATTCTGTCCTCAGTCTCGTCGGCATCCTCTTCTGACCCCTCGCGAGGACCACGGGGAGTGAAATCGCTACCAGATGCCTTGACCGATGCCGGCCAATCGATCTTGAGCTGATCAAGTTTGGCCATGATGGTGGCCCGCTTCGATAGACTAATAAATGCATTGGACGGGTTGGGCTTGGTCGCCAAGGCCATCAATTTATTGAGGATATGACCAGTAAGCGCTGATATCTGAGCAGCTGAATTCAATGTTCTCCTTTTTTGAGCAATGCATGTTTTTTTTCCTTTGATGCTGTTGGAAAGACCTTTCCGCTTTGGAAAGATCATTCCGCTTTGGGATTTTGAAACAGATGTGCTAGTAGAAACCTTCCGGAGTATAAGCTGTATTTTCTGCGGTTTCCGCACTTTCCACCTTGCCTCGGGGAGGCTCCGATGCTCTCGGTTTCCCCATCCACAACTGTATTACACCAAAAATCCTTAAGGTTTATCAACCTTATTCTGATTCCAAATTTACATATTTTTACTCATGTTGTAATGGACTGCCAAATGGAGCCACAAATTGGTACAGACTCAGTGGGGTGCTTGGAAACTGGGATCTTATGGGGGCCAGGGCAATGAGGGGTTTTGTGATTTTTCCACCTATTTGGCTGGACACCCTTAGAGCATCTCCAACGGTCCGGGGGGCAACTAACTGCCTTGCGTTCCCCGGGCCGCAATCCCATGTCACAGGGGTCGCGGGTCAATCCCAATTATGGACTGGCAGTTATCCCCCTGCCGCTGGTAGATCAATATCCCCTTCCCCACCAAATCAAGATGGACATCAACGATACCCTCAAATGGATGGATGACAACGATGATGTGCTTGCCTCACTACAAGCAACACTCGGCTTAATACTTAACACGAAGCAAGAAAATAAGCGTGGCGGTTCAACCCCTGGAAGAAGAGAGATTCAACGCAACCAAATCGAAGGCCACAATCAGCTATTCAAGGACGGCACGTATCCCCCCAAAATACTAAAACCCCTTTTTTCTTTGTTGCATTGTTTTGATCTCCTTTTTTTGTTCCTCTTTCTCTTGCATCGTTTTGATCTCCTTTTTTTGTTTCTCTTTCTCTCTTTTTTCTTTTTCTATGCTTTCTCTCGATTGTATCTCAAATGATTTCTTGTATTCTTTCATTTGCAAATTAATGAAATGAAAAATACAAACAAGAACAACAAGAATAAAAGAATGAGAGTAGTTGCGAGTGTGAGTGTCAAGATCAAGTGTAAACAGATGAAGATTGAGAGTGAATGAAAGAAACAAAGAGATCTCGTTGAGATCATAATTCAGTTTTCTTTGTTGTCCTCCTCCTCGTCATCATTCTCACCATCACCATCATCATTCTCCTCTCCCTCGTTGTCATCGCTTTCGGTATCTCCTAGCTCTTATCTGGAGTTGGTTGTTGTGTTGGGTTTGAAGAAGGAGGATCTGGGTTGTCCATTGTTTGTTGTGGGGTCTTTTCCGCAGCATCGTATGTTGGATCGTAGAGGAATGGGGAGGAATGGGGAATCGCGGCTGGGAGTTGACTGGCAGAACTCAGAAGGGGACCGTGGGTTTGATTGCCCCCGGCAATTTGTTGAGGGCCATGTCACAGGTCCGTTGGAGCGGAAAATGGACACCCGACCTGCCAAAGTTCGCCCCCGGACGCCCGATCCAGGTCCGTTGGAGATGCTCTTAGGCCAGCTGAGCAACATTACATGTAAGGCCCTCCAAGCAGGAGGGGGCCCAGAAACTCCAGGAAAAATGTCTGAATCTCCAAGAGATGGGCGAAGCTGATTAAATACATAATTCCATTTGTAGGCGGAGCACTCGGCTTGGATGTCTGGACAATAAAAAATGTGACAGCAAACGCGATGTCCTCATACAAAAGAAAACAGGAAAGTGCAATAGGTTGTTCAAACAGGAGGCCCAACAACTGAAAGTGTATCGCTTTAGTTGGCTCGTGGATCACGATGGCAGCTGATTTACAGGACTTCAATGGGACTCTGGCGATGCTAATTGATAAGAAGGCTTTAATTGCGTAAATTTTATGGAGGTTAACAAAGAATGGTATACAAGAGTAAGTTCAGAAGAGTTTCTATTTCTGGCCACTTCCACAGCAAGCTCAAGACCGCGAAGGATCAGAAGCGAGCACGACAGCTCGAATCAGAAGAGACAAGAGGAGGCGGAAAGGCAGCCCAAGGTCATCGAGTCGTCAACGAGGGCAAGCCATCGAAAGACAGACGGTTCTCGCTCAATGAAATAGAAGACTTCGGATCATCATCACTTATAAACACTGTGGCTCGGTTGAGCTAGTGAGACAAACGATCGGGTATCTACTGTAAATAGATCCTGAAGAGCTGCGGGTGGGAGATAAGGGGAACAAGGGAAATGGGTCAGCTTGTGTTCGGGGAAGGTGATCGATGGGATGGAAGCAGGTTGGGGGGGAGGAAGCTACTCACTTTGGTCATGAGGAAAAAGGAACAGGCCATGGAGGAGGGAGCTTTATATACTGTTTGGGCGGCTGCAACCATGCGGCTGACGTGTGGGCAAAACCGCCTGCGGTCTGCGGAGCTTAGGTTTCGCTTTCACAATTCCGGCCAGCATGTGGGTCTTGTTGCATATTCACCAACAACAAAAAGTGAGGTTCCGACGAGTCAGCGACTGCAAAGCAAGGTCATTTGAGGGATGCACCCCGCGGGCATCAAACAACCGTGCCGGCGTCTCATGACACCGGATTGTAACAAATCACTTCGGTATTAATCCAGGGTGATCATAGTCTGTATGTGCATTCATGTTTAGAGGGTACCAAACAGATAAGTATTTGTCATGCAAGAATCACGCTTTGACAAGACATGCAATCTGCACATGTTGTCCATTTCGGTGGGTGATGATGACGAAAGGATAATCGGTGATCGTAGAGAAGAAGTCACAATAAAGAAAATGTATGCAAGTGGTGGTTACAAAAGGTTGCATGATGCCAAGTTAAACCTAGAGGTATCTTCTGAAAAGCGCAAGATTGAGGAGATCTATAATACATAAAAATAGAGTGAGCAGTTGCTTCTTTTCATATTGTCGTTCCCAAAAGGTAATGCTTTGTGTATAATAAAGGGTATTCTTGCTTCTGTTTTTGTGTGCAATAGAAGATGAGAGACACTAAGACTAATCAGCAAGAAAGATAGAAAGAGAAAGAGAAAGCGACCGTCCCATTTGACCAAAAAGATAATGAGAAAAGAAGAGAGATCAAGATGCCCAACAGCTAGGAATTTGATTGATGACCCGACACCAAGTCTGGAGTTTGGTGGGCCGGATGATGCCGATGAGGGGAGAAGAAGAAGGATCAACGGAAGGATTAGTAGCAGTGGTCGATGAGGAGTGCTGATGTTTGATGTCAATCGAGGAAGGAAGATCGGCGGTACACCAAAACAAGCTGAAGTCGGGTTTGGTGCTGGAAGTAGAAGTGGAGGGTAGTCGATGAGGGTTCGAAGGAGGGAGCTTGATGAACCCATTCGAGCGTTCGAAGTACCATCGATTCACCGGGTTATCCGTCCGTGACCGCCAGACCAGGTCCACCGGCTCGCCCAACCCGCTCAGTCCGCCATTATTATTCAACGCATCCAGGTTGCCCAGCCCGAAGGACTCATCCCTCAACGCCCCCCACAAGAAATCGACAATCCCTTCGCCTTGTAAGGATGGCAGGACCGCAAATTTGTCTAGATATACGATCGGCTCTCGGTCTTCTGACTCTGAACCTTCCCTCGATTCTTGCTTCTCCTCCCACTCATTTGTCACGATCGCCGCGGCCTGATAATCGCCCGCAAGGATCACAAATCTCAGCGAGTTTTTCAAGCGTTCGAAGTAGCGTTGATGGTCTAAAGTTTTCTTGAACGATTTCTCCAAAAGGTCTTTGAGTTTAGTGAGGTCGAGATTATCGATCCCTCTGATGACCTTGATCGGCAATCCTTTGCGGATCAATGTGGGTGTAGCTAGTCCGATATCACGAGCATGATTGAGGAGGATGGAGTGTTTGAGACTGGGCGAGTGAGCCGGTTTATTGGTGATCAGATTGGCAATCAAGCTTTTGGGCGAACGATGTGAGACGATGATGGCGCTGCTTTCGTTAGGTAAATACTTGAGACATGATTTGGCCATCGAAAGATTCGCGAGTGAGGTTGGATGGGAATCACCCCAACGGAAAGTTTCGTTTATGAATTCGTATTCTGAGGCGAGGTTGATTGAAAGATGGGGATGTCCGTTGCGAGCTGGAGAGGGGATCCCACCCTCTCGATTTATGATCATCAGTCTGAGAGGAGTCAGGTCTAGCTCGTTATCTTCATTATCATCTTCTTCGAGCCGGTCTTTGTTCTTCTGATCGAATGGTTGATGAGTCGGTGATCGGACGGTAGCGGGTTGGCCGTGATATGCGGAAACCGCATCGATGGTGTGATTGAGGCTATTGGGGCTTTTGCCCACTGCTGCAAGACCCTTAGCCAGAGATTTGACGACTTCATCGGCCGAGACACATATGGTTGCACAAGATGAATTGATGGCGATGGGTGGGATGATTGGGATTTCTTGATTCTTGATAGCCGATTTGAGCACGTCCAAATTGTCGATGTACAGATCGAGGCCATCGCCATCCTGATTACGATCGTCCGTCAGTCTCAAGACACCCTCTTGGATCGGCCGACTTTGGCCACCCCGACTTTCGAGCATGGCTGACAATCTGCCAGTTTCGCGTACGATAGCCTGGCGGCGGCTTTCGGACGAGTTGATCGTATGAAGAATTCCGGGTGGTTTGGATTTGTGAGGTAAGCTGGCAGTCAGACTGGTGTGTGAAGGGTAATGCCATGCTTCATCATCTAAGACGATGATCGACATGAGACCTAAGGTTTTGAGATAGATCACTCCATCCACGATACTCTGTAGTTGCCGATCGGTAAACGGGCCTTGAATCTTGACGAGGCCGGTATGTTGATTGGGTGTGGATAGAATCAATTGAGCAACATCACGATTCTGATTTTTATTGGTTTGCCGGATGCTGGTCTCGTTTGATTTGTTGGGTTGTACAAAGGTAGATGATGAGGTCGTGGCTGCTAGGGTGGCAGTGGTAGGCATAGCTTCGCCGGTAGGGAATCCAGGGTTGAAGGTATCATTACTTGAAGAGTTTGAGCTCGAATCTGGCGAGTTTTTGGGTATCTTTTTGGAGGTAGGAGCAAATGATTTGAGATATAATCTGGAATCTCGAGCAGAGGGGTGAGCTTCAAGTACTGAAAGGATAAGTTCCTGCGTAGATTTTTAAAAAAATATATAATGAAAAGGGTTATGCACATCAGTTATTTGCTTGCTTGCCTATATAGATTGTAAAATATATAACCCGCAGCTTACCCTTTGAAGTTTGTCAGCAGAAGGTTTGAGGTTGGATGAGAGGTCATCTTCACTTGAGCGAAGGTAATAGGATCGAATATTGGGATTGAGTGGGGGATTGAGTAGGCGCCTGGTTGGTACTCTCCTCGAAACCATCATCGACATCGTGTATGGTAGCGGGAGCCCAGGCGTCATCAAATTCATGCTACACTTTTCTAGATCCTGGAAGAAAGAGAAAAAAAATTAACGTGCGCACACTCGCATGATATTTTTACTGATTGAACTGAGAAATCCTTCCAGACGTACGCTACTACTCCCTGATGAATCTTTCAATGTATATTTGGTGATTGTCGTTGTCGTTTGAATTCAAGCGTTAATTATTTCATCTTCAAGTTTTTTATGCATTTAATATTTTTCGGGTTCTCTGAGATGGTTATCGTTACAGTATTACTGATGATCACCCACGGCAATCCTGTCAGCAAGCCAAAGCATTGTTGTTGGGGATGTGTGGTTGATAGAGGTACGTGATGAACATGGCAAGAGTACCTGGACACAGGGGATGGTTGCGAAATCAAATGGGTTAGCATGGACCCAAAGCAGGAGGATGGAATGGGAATCATGGAAGCGAATATAAGATAACTCACGCTGGATGATTTGTGGATTGGGAACTGGGTCGATTTTGTGAGATCAAGGCAAGGAAGGACGCCGAAATGGTTTGTTGGAGAAATTATTTGAAAGTTTCAGCCGAGGACTGTTTCAGCTTGGGAAAGCCGGTTCGGATTATCTGGGCCGCCCACCCGGACAGACTCACTTCATCTGACAGCTGCATCTGGCCCATTTCGAACACAGCACTTGCATGATCAGGTGTTCATGGCACCCTATCTCAACATTAACACCATCCAGGTTGGACAAAACAACTACCCACTAGACGGTTAGAGGTCATGAAAGTGCATCTCTCATAGCCTACCAACTTCAATACACATGTGCTCCCCAGACATACCCATGAACTACTGAACTCATACTTCCATAATCCATTGAGGGACTGCTCTGGAGAAATCTTGAATGATGGAATATTATAAGGGCACTCAAAATCTATTTATGCCAGATCTACATGGATAAATATTTATTCATGATTTCACCAAGTGAGACAGATGAGGTGGAAATAAACTATGCATATACCCTATCCTCTGTCAAGGGTCCAAACGCAAAAGTACAACTAAAGGGGCTTTTTGTGTTTGACCTCTCAGCCACAGCTGGAGGAGCAGGTTTCTTTTTTCATCAGCAAAGCCTTTAGCTGTAATCAGCAAATTATTGATACTTAGAAAGACATCTTTTTTTGAATATATAGTCCAGAGCCCCCCAGATTATTCCAGATCCATCCAAAAAAAATGCTATCAGCAACTTTTGACAAGGTGATCAGCCATTGGAACTGGATGAGGGGTTTGTATTACAAATTTAGGACTGTTTTATTGGCATGATCTCAAAATGGAAGCAGAAAATGCATAAATGTATACCTATTTAAAATGCCACTGCCAGTGTAGATCAGGATCAATGAGTGTTGTAATAGTATAGGGATTTCAATAGGGACCTACCAAATATGTTTTTTTGTCATTGAGTTCATAATAGCCAGTCAGTTGGTACTGGTACCAACTCAGTATATTGACTTATTGAAATGATGCGTTTAACTTCAAGGTATTGAAAGTTCAACTTATTGCTCAACAATAACATCTACTAAATTTCTTGTTTTTTGTCTGGTAGTGGATTGGGAGCTTGATCTTACAATCTCAAGGCTAAATTGACATTGGCAGTCCATTTTTTTTTAAATTTAAGGATCAGAGAGACTTGGAGTATTTATGGAAGAATCTAGTACTACCCAAGGAGCCGCATTAAACTTTGGAGATTCATCACCAACACTATGCCACATACCCTTCATCGGACTGAGTACCGTTGATTTGTCTTCCAGCGGTTTCCCAAGACTGGTCAATCCACTAACAGAGCGCGAAAAAAGTTCAAGAATGCTGGGGTCCGATGGAAGATGTGGCGCAAGTAAGTCTGTTGTTCATTTTTTTGCGGAAGAAAAGAAAAATGAGATCAATGAATAAACCAATTTCTAATTACACACAGCAGATGTGATGTGATGTTGTTTTTCTTCTTTGATCATGAGAGATATTTGGTTGAACCAATCATTAACTACTTACCGATGATATTAGGTTTCCGTGAATGGCCTAATGGAACCGAAAGAAAAATCTTGGGAGGTAATTCACTCGACCTAACTTCAGGCCTAAGCGACGGGGGGATGTACCAGCCAAGAACCAAGCCTGAAAAAAAAGAGAAAAAAAGCCGGTCATGAAGGCTGATGAAAAAATTGCAAGATCAAAACCGAATAAGCGAAGATTTCGACCTTTACCTTCGTAACATCTGCGAGGGGAGGTACTGTTCAAGTCGAATAAAGGCTTTCCACCTTCGCTCAAAGCTGGCTGGTCATCCTTAACCGTCGGCGAGGCTGTGATCTTGACCCAATACCATTCGGAATAGGGTCCCTGAACATGACAATCTGGAAAGAATTTGTTCTTCAGAAAGCGTCGATACTAACATTAAATTCACAATAAATCAAGAGATCTATCAGTTTCTCCTTTTAGAGCATCGCCCAATTCATAGATTCTCAAAGACACGTTTTGTGATTACCTTAGGTCGATTGGTCACCCAGACTGCAATTAATGCTCTTTTGCCACCATTCTCACCCAAGATTCCTGGCAGATCTAACTTGAAAAGATCGTAAAGCTCTACAGTCCTATACTTTCCGCCACGAGTCGCAGACTTGTTTTGCCAGGGTGGACTTGATTTTCGCATAGTACGATTTCACAATGGAACGAGAGTATTAATTTTTTGGCATTTTGTGAATAGAGATGAAACATATTGTAGCACACTCAATGATCACTGCATCCCAACCGGGAGAATGGTTTAATCCAAATACTTCGCTTTTGAAGTTTTCCATCGTGGCTAAGCTAAAACCTGACCTCTTTGGAAGGGTAATCGAACATTTCTTCTCAGGTAGGAATGTTTGACTAATCGAAGTCGATGATGAGTTTGTACATGTGATGCCAGCTACTCAAGCGAAGTGCAGAGAAAGTCAGGGAAACTGGAGGACAGGCGCTTTTGATCTGACACTGCTATAAGAAGCTGCTTACATTCAGAGACGCGTATTGAGGATTGATTTAAGTCGGATTGAGTTTTACAACGAACTTGGAATGTGTCGCGAGTTAAAGCGGCCCAGTCTACCCATACCTCTGAACGCTTGATCTCTGGCGAAGGTAGCCATTCGAGTTGAGCGACGGCTGAGTGACGCAAGAGATGTGGATCTGACCACCATTCCGAATGGCCATCGCGGCTACATTCATCAATCCATCGCTCTCGAATAGCATCAACGGCCTGTTGGATATCACCCTTGATGCTAGCATGGTGAACAGCTTCGAGCTGGAAGCCGTTCAACGGGTGAATTTGACTTGTTTCAGCGGATTCTCCAGGTTGGCATGAATGAGCTGAGGCTGATGGGGGTTCATTGTTGGACCGCTGCCTCTTGGTAGGTCGGTTTTCCCTATTTGTGGTAGTACTAGCGGAGGTGGTGGGGGTGCAAATGATGTGAGGTTCCGAAGGGGGACGCGAAACAGAGACCCGGGTGGTCTCATCAAAACCGCGTAGAAGGGGTACGAAAGGATCCAGCAGATACGCTGTGAGGTTCTTCTCAGGGAGCAGGATCTCCAGCAGAACGGAGGACGGTTCGCTCCTCTGGGACATTTTGGTGTAGGATTGATCCAAGTTCCGCTTTGCAAGTTGGCTGGCTCCACCGACGATCCGACTCTGGGGTATTTATGCATGTCAAAAATTGCCCGGGCCTGGATGCATAAATTACAGGATAGACATGACTTCTCCGATGATGTTGGCTTCTCAGTTGTGAACATATCAAAACTGGATTGTGTCATGGAATACAGCTTTGCTTGAGGATCTCATGCAAGAAACTAGAGGCTTATAAGAAGGTCTAATGTGTGTATGATGGATTCATATTTCAGGATGGTTTCTCAATGAAGCTAACTTAAAAAAAACCTTGAACCTTTTGAAAACCATCATAACCACGTTAGGTGGCAGTGCTTGAAGGAGAGTTCATTTGAGGTGACAACATGACTCCATACATTTCTTGTTCTTCACTTCAGACAACAAGCACAATAATAATGTAAATTTCCCAAATTCCAGTTATCAGCTTGTGAAGATGAGTTATTTAGAATCAAGGCCTCTAAATTAATGGAATTGGATGGAAAAGACTAACACACACTGCAAATCCGCATACTCATGTAAAATTATTCAAACATAGAACATGTTGGGCCTTGTTCTGTGCTGGCAAAGAGGAAAGCCACTTCTGTGAAGTCTCTGTTAATGAAACCACAGTTCGTATTTAACCAAGCACTGTTTTTTCTGGTGACAGCATGTGTTGCCAAACCTGGAAAGACCTCTCAGTCAAATCTCCGGTGCAGAATGGCAAGCCAGATCAAGAATCATAAAACTAGAGGGGGGGGGGGGTAAGTTTTTATGGCTCTCAATAACTACTTAATCCCGCTTGATCACAGAAATTGAATCAAGATGTGAAAGTCAAACTCCAAATGGATCTATGAAAACAAGCTTTATGGAAATAAGAAAAAATGGATCAAATCCCGTTTTCTTATGAGCCACAGTGACCATTGACCAACATGCATGCCCAGACGGCTCACCTTTGGAATGAGAAACCTCCTGCATCATGATTCACAGTCACCAGAAATTAGAATGGATACCAGGACTGTGACCCTTTTGGGTGGGTAAATTGGACTCAGATAATGATTTTCAAAACTCATAGATGATGTGTGGTTGGAGCAGCACAAAATTCATGCGGTATTTATATGCCGAGGGGGGGGGGATAGCTGTGCTTTGGTGAAAGAGGAAAAAGCACTCCAAACCCAGCAAAGGTTGAAGTTCATGATCAAGCAGGGGCAAAAAGCTCCTCTGGTCAGACCAATCTTTCAGGCTCAGTAAAAAAACATTGTGGTACTGCCTGGAAAAGTTTTGGTCTGCTTGAGGGTAACTTAAACATCTAGCGCAAAAAATTCTGATTACTCGGGGCTCATCTCACTATATCATGCGAGTGTTTTGTTTTAACTAGAATTGCTGGCGAGTAATGAGTACAAAAGACCATTCAATCGAAATAACCAAAAAACGTCACTGCTGTGTATATACATCGACTTTGAACACTCTTTTTTTCTTAATTACAAGTGAACTGGAGACTATGAGCCACAGACCAACTCATGAATGATTTGTTTTTTCTTCTTTTTTTGTCTTTTTTACATTTTTACATTTTTTTTTTACTTTGATTGAGTAATTATATGTTGATTTTTAGCTTGTTTTTTTTCGAGTTAACAGTACTTTAAATCCAATGCCGAGAGTGAGGAAGAAGAGGGATATCCAGCCGAGAACAGTTTTCCAGAAGCGGTGATCATGCCACGAGTTTGAGCCTTCTTTGAAGCGATAGAAAAGTTGAACACACGTTCAGGATCGATTATTCCCCAATCTAGGATTTGTTTTGATTTGATGATTCGTCGATCGCGCAAACAAAGACCGATGAAAGGATAAAAGGTTGTGACGCGTGATGTTTAAGAGATCGTTGGAAGGAAGGAAATAATACTGTCAGAATGGCGATTTTTCCCTTGAGATTGTAGACGAAGAAGCAAGAAACGAAAGGTTCAAGGACTCAACTAATCTTTCCAAGCGCGATATTCCATGCAACAAGGCCCTCCAAGATCTCATGGCGATTGCGATCGATCATGTCGATGGGTTGAAGATGGTCGTCGGTCTCGAGTATTCTGCCAGTACTAATTAACTGTTCTTTAGCAAAATCCACAAAGCCAAGGATCATCAGAGATTCGGCTCTATAAACCCCCGCCCGGGCTCTCCAACATCGTGGGACTGAAAGGTCGTTGAATAACAAGTTCGACTCGCCCGTACATTTCGATGGATTGGAATCCCTTAGCGACAATAATCTTGAGGATTGAATCAAGTACTTGTGGTCTTCCGGCTTTAGTTGTCTAAAGATCTCTTCTTTGACTTGCGCGATCAATTGATTTAAGCTAACTTGAGTGTCTGGTGAGGCGAGAGCTGCGTTGGCAATCAAAGACATGGTTGGTGTGAGGTAAGGTAGACTTTTGAGCAGATCGATACTAAGATTTACAGTTTGTTATAATATTTGAATCAGTACGCTACTAAGAAAGCAAGGAGGGATGATCTGCTGCAGTAGCTAGTAAGAAGAGCCAGGTAAGTGTGCGTATTCCTGAGGGATTTGAGAAATTGTTTTTATATTTGAATTTTATGCGAGCGTTTCAAGGAAAACTCGGCTTCTTCGGTTCTTTAGATGGCTATTCACTTGAGATTTTGTTGTGGATGGATTGGTGAGGTGCGGGAACTGGATGGTTTATAGAAAACAGAAATCTACGTGGAGCGATGCATCAATACTCACATCATCAGAAAGGCCAATCAAGGCAAAGGATTGAGTTCCGACAGGGGCTATGCCTAGCCACTGTATGCTGTCCTATGCAGGTAAGCAGGAAGAATGTTGCTCACCTCAAAAATCAAGCTCTTAACGTCTACGTAGGGCGACTGTACAAAATGCTGTCATACGTTGGCATGTGCTGGAATAACGATGGGCCTATATAGAGTTAAACTTCTTGACCCCAGATTTTTAGTAAACCGTGATGATAGGCTGGGGGGGCAGGATTCCGGGGTACATATATTACATAAACATGCTATGCTGATCTACTGGTACACCAAGTCTCCAAGATACATATCAACAGCTGTTTGCGAGACCACCGGACCAGTCAGCTGGTCGGTCAGCATGTCAAGCCTTCGAAATGGGGTACTGCATTCACTGCATGGATATCTTGGTGCGTGATTAAGGACATAATTTGATAGCCAAAAGTTGAAGGTTCTAAATGCAAATGTTCAATCAGCACAGTCATCTTGAAGATTTCTGGATGACCGGAAGTAACTGCTTCTGGGATAGTGCTCGGGATGGGCAGATCGATGGAATTGATATCAATACCGGTTGATCCAGCTATCGCGGATAGGTTATGAATAACAATCCTCACTCATCTTTATGACGTACTCTACCAAATTTTCTGGTGTAGCATTCTGGATGGCCGTGCTAGATAAGATATTCAAATTCCAATCAAAAGCACGTATTGATATAGATGGAACCGATGGCAAATGGGCGGCTATCTGCGGCTATCATTTTACACACCTTATTGCACCCTGGAACTTGGAAGTCGTATTTGCGATAGTTGCGCGTGATGTGCGTAGCAGGAGGAAATGCGATTCCCTTTGAGGGCGATTTGCTAAAATTTTGAGCAAAAAAGAGGGTCGGGACTCGATGGAAAAAGAGGGTAGCTGAGCGAGGGAACGGCCATGATGTGGTGACTTTTTACTATCCCGAGATGGGCGTTGGTGATTTTTGAGCTGCCTCTCACTAGCACCTCATACAAATAGCTGGTTAATCTGCATATCATCTTCCATTGTTCCGCTTCACCGAACGTCAGCTGGTGGCGCCCCAGGATAGGAACATATTGATGGCTATAAACCTCTGGATAATATCCTTCTTGCTGTCCAATGTACAGATTGTAGGGCATCAAGGCTGTTGCCCGCTCTAACTGATAGTTAAACTGCTTCACTCTGTTCGGCAGCTTTAAAGCCTGGGGGAGGACCCTGTAGGACTCAGAGCCTAGCCCTTCCGACAAAGGAGGAAACAGTCAAGCTGAGGTATCCAGTGCCATTGATGAATGGGGTGACACCCTTTCAATTTGTGGGTTCAACTTCCGGCCAATTCATCCTGATTCGAATCGTTGCGCTTGCAGAAATTGGGAGCGTCTTCCTCAACAGCAATTTTGAGGTACTGCATACATACATGGGCTGGCTAGATCCTTCAGCCAAACAGTTCTACAGAGGCTGCAGAACTAGATGAAGGCTCTCAAAGCATATTTTCATGACAAAGTTTAATTTAGCGGAAGGACTGTGCAGCAAAATAAATTAAGGGCACACTGTTGGACATGACATTGGATAATCATACCTCTCTATCAGAATTCTTTAGTAGATCATGTCCCATATGTAGCTGCTAGTGCTGGTCCTTATGACAGGATACAACTGCTGATTGTCAGAGGTATTCTTTTACTAGAGAACTCGCGGCGCACGCCGCAAGCCCTCTTTGAACTGGAACAGTTCTGGAAATGGAAACTTTGACCTGGAACAGAGTGAGCTGAAATGAAGATGGGCAAACTTAACTGGAATTGCGTAATATTGCAAATAACAATTGAGAAACATCAACAAACGAATGTATAATGTACAATAGTAAGAAACATGAACAAACAAACGAATGAATAATAATAAGAAATAAAATAGGAAAAGGAATGTGTACTTGAGAGACAGTTGTTGACAATTTCAGCAATAGGCCGAGAATGAGTGATCGATCGCTATCTGTGAGTGAGGTGATAGAATGGATAAAGAATGGCGGTGCGTGTGGTGCGACTGGGATTTGAATTTGAAAAGAAAAAAAAAACTTCAATCTGGTACGGTCGGAGTGATGAGCAAGGTGTTTCTGCTTATTGCACCATCAATGTCGATCAATGTTGATCAAGGAGCTCCAAGACTAAGGCTCCGTTTGGCCGCCCAAAATGTTATATATTGTTATACACAAATCCTAATAATCGGATTTAAGATTTATCAACCTTAATCCGATTATTACACAACCATGCAAATCCGTTATCACGGTAAATATTGGTCCAGTCCAGAATTTCCTCTTGGCTGGAGAATATAAGCAAAAAGTATATTCCGTGATGAACGAGCTGTTATGATGTGACCTGCCAAACAGCCTTCTCACCAGCGTTATAATCCCCGTCCCCCCCCCCCCCCGGCATAATCTGCAAGATTCTTCAATATCGATATATGATATCTTGGTCGGCCAAACGGAGCCTAAAAAAAGTCATTCAAGTCAGCCTTTAAATGCTAATAATCCGTCTCAAGAAACGAAAATTGCGTACAGGTTGACCCATGCGACTTCTTGAGTACGTCAAGGTTGACTACATTAGTGGTGATGGGTGGCCCACTGGGGTCAGTGACCAATCCGATGGTGAGTCCCTTGACCGAAGTGACTTGGGACAGGGCAACATAAAGTTGCCCATGTCCAAAAACGGGGTTGGGCAAGAAAACTGCGACGCGTTGGAGAGACTGCCCTTGCGCCTTGTTGATTGTCAATGCAAATGCAACAGATATCGGAAACTGGTATCGGGAGAAGTGACGCCGTAGACTTGATCTGCTTCATGTATCAATTTGATCTTGGGGATTGAGACGTCGGAGCCAATACAACGTCCAGTCAAAATTCGGCACCTGAGTACGTTGTGTTTGATGTCGGTAATGACCATGCAAGTGCCATTGGAAAGTCCATTTTTGAGGTTCATGTTTCAAAGGAGGATGATTGGAATACCGATCTTGAGTCTGATGGTCGATTCCGGAAAGCCTGGTAAAGAGAAGGATTTGAGAACCTCCTCTGGTATGGATTCCTCGCTGTCTTCGCCATTGTGTTCATTCATCATCTGATCGATGGACACTGAATCAAAGTAAGCACCTTGAAATCGACGGACACATGTTTCGTTCAAATCATCGACATCAGAATTCAAGGGGGTGAGTATAAGTCGAGAGCTGTAAAAAGAGTTGATTTGTTCGTTGTTTGCTACTCGCATGAAAAGGTCAATATTTTCATAGATTGTGTGGATGAGGTTGTTGCTGACAATGTTTCTTGATTGGTTTCGAACAACCTTCCCATATTCTAGACCAACTGTTCCGGAAAATGAAGTTTGCCCCACACCGTTTCCAATCTTTAGAAGCCACTGGTAGAATTCTATGCTGGTAGGCTGAGTGTCAGAGTCGTCACTGCTTATCAATCTGAGATTTTTGGTGAGTGGGTAGGTGGTTATACTGTCCCACAATGGTGAGTCGAGAATACACACTCGGGCTTGATCAAACATGTTGCCAAACTTGACAACTGGCAAGGTTTGTCTGAAATTGCCGCCGAATATAACTAATTTACCCCCGAAGGGAGAATTGTTATGGGTCAGATCGCGGAGTGTCCTGTCAACTGCTTCAACAGCAAGTTTATTCTGCATTGAAATCTCATCCCAAATGATGACTCAAGCATTGATTGTAGTGGCAGTGAAAGATGATCGTGGGTTTAAGCTACAGACTGAATTAGTTTCGAGTTGGAGCGGAATCTTGAAGCGAGAGTGGGTGGTCATCCCATCGATTAGCATTAAGGAAGCAACACCGGATGAAGCTACCATTACAAACGGTACCTCCCAATATTTCAAGTAAATAGCAATTGTATTTAACAGGTAGGTCTTGCCACAGCCACCTGGTCCATTGATGTACAACAATCCTCCCACAAAACTGTCAACCTTTGCGATGACAGTGCTGAGTATTGCCTCTTGATCCGAGTTCAAATTTTGACACCTGGAATCGAGGTTGCTACCAAGTGATTCGTAGGTGTCTTCAGTGGGATCGGGTGTATTATCAAAGCGCGTCCAAAGGCTAGTATCGGCCACAGTAATGCCCACGTCACTCAAACGATTTCCGGATTCTGAGAGCAATCTATCCATGTAAAAATAACATAAGGAGAGTCAATCGCTTGGAGAAGGATTCCTAAATTGGTCAACATTCTTGAGTCAATGTAAGAGATCGTTGGATAATTCTTCAAAGAACGTTTCGAAGAGATGTTGTGGATTGCTAGGGGGACTGTGTAGAAGGAGTATGACGAATGTCAATCTAAGCCCCGTTCCCGTCATCCAAAGAGAAGCATCTGCAAGACACAAATGATAGTGCCTGTCCGAAACCAAAAGTCCAACTTCATTCGCAGCTTGACGGAATGTGTTGTAGGTTATGCCTCTGACAGTGCGCAAGTCTTCGTAGCTTGTCGATCCTTTTCGGTTCAGGAGCAGAAGTCTCAAGAAGTACCTCTCCCCCTCATTGATAGATGCAAAGTATATACGGCCGATCATATCTGATCGTTGCTTTCTGCCGGTAAATCTATTGTGTGCCCAAGTAAAATATTTTGGGAAATCCTGATATAATAGGGCACGTGCCGGCATGCCGAAACCAATTGTGTTAATACAATTCAATCTGAAGAATTCCGTAAGAGTGGTTCTGGATGCTGATCCATCTGCCATACTGGCTCGCAAGCTCTCTTGATTGCTGAAATATACTGGGTTGCTGTGGGGGAGGTGCAGTGCGAGTCTTTGGATTGCTGGGAATCGTTCGCTTGTAGGAAACTGAAATAATCTCCATGCGGCTGTGGATGAGGTAGCTCCATGTCAGCATCCAACTACAGTCATTGTGAGAAAGGCCAGTTGAAAAAATACAGAAAAAGAAGTTGAACAAACCTTCGGACGGTCCAATATAGCGACCATTGATGAACTTTTTGGTCTCATCACCATCAGACATGCTCATATGAGATCTGTCAACACCTTTTGTGATGTATTTGAATAAATACTTCAATGCTGTGATACCGTAAGGTATCTCAACATTGATATGGCAATCATACCAAAGCGACAAATACTTGTTGTACGGGACAACATGGCCGTTGTTGAACACTTTCCTTCCTTTGATAAAAACTTGGCCATTGTCCCGGTGTCGGTAATTTGGATAGGCGTTGTCAACGAAGGTGGTTGCTGCTTGGAACGGTTTAGGAAACCCCTTGCTACACCCATCATCTTTCCAACACATACTACTGGGGTGGCAGGGACCGTGAAGCATGCATCGAGTAACAATTCGATGCAAATCAGGTTCTTCTTGCTCGTCGGGAATCTCCGCCGTCACCAATGAATCGATATCGTCAGTTGTTTGAGGGACACTCCCAGGTGCGAGGATAACTATGATGTGGGCATGGGGAAGCCCCCGCTTCTGGAATTCAATGGTGTACACATAGGCGGCAACTGTCCCAAGTTGTCGATTTTTGACCAAGTCTTTGATAAGAGAATCGAGTTTCATATGAAAACCTCGTGAGACCAAGTCCGGTCGGTCGCTAGGTACATGATGCGTGGCTAGCGCACATACAATTTTGATCCATCTCGGGTTGGCCGTCATGGTTATGAAAAGGGATGGGGGACCGAGTTGGCGAACACATGCCATGGAGTCTTGATATAACTGAATCATGTTTCGGGGTGATTCAGTGAAGGAAAATGGGAGTATTACCCGTCTGCCCTGAACGTCGAGTTCATTCCTCAGCGATTCCTCGACACCACTATATATATCGGCCCGGATGAGATCTTGATTGAATCGATAAAAGTTGAGCCGAGAGCGCTCAACACATATATAAAGATCAACCAGAAGTTCCTGGAACAAATTTTTTCCGTGGAGGATTGCGGAGAACTGTCCGCTGTGATCAAAGAGCATCGCGGCGTACCACTCACATTGCGAGATGGTATTTCCTGTTTTTTTTTTTTTTTTTTTTTTTTGTCAGTTTTGTTTAAAAAAGAAACCATACTATATAGTCATAATGGATAGTTGACTCACTACGGTTTGTTGGACTTGGCCATCCACGAATCCATCCTTGTTCGCTGTATGGGAAGAAAATGGGGTAACGAAGTGGGAGATAGCCGGTGTGATTGTCAGTGATGCGCAAAAATCTGCCGCTATGCTTTCGCAACAGGATGTCGCGGGGGGAGATTTCGTCTGGATTATCGTGGTCGATAACCATCACAATTTCTTCAACTCAGGGTCTGTTTTAAACTCGTAGATCCAACCCAGGCCGCTCGATACTGCGCAGGACAAAGTTGCTTGCTGGGTTGGCATCGAGGTGGTTTCTGACCGAGCGCTAAAATTGTGCGTAGGAATTATTTTGGTACATAAACTGCTGGAGTCAAAACAATAACCCCTCGTTCAAGGTGCTCCTGGCTTGGCTGATTCGGACTGATGCTTCTTGATGATCATTTCCCCCAACGACGTAAATTTGGGAGAAGGAAGGTAGATTCCCATCGTCAGGAAAGACAGAACCGATGTCATGGAACAATGCCCCGCCAACTCGAAAGGTGTAGATTCCATTTTGCCCCTGAACGGATCGATTGACCGAGGCCCTGCATGAGGCAAATGATAACGTGTTGTTATATCCTCTGATCTGTTGTTGAAAGTCCGTGGAAACTGTATTTACAGATCAGTCATGCCATCTACTGTGAGAGGGTTGATAGGATACGGATAATACTAAAGATACTAAAGGTAATTGAAGAAACAAACGAACCTGGATCATTTCTTGATAACAATTCTCTGAAAAAAGCAGGATAATCTATGCCGTTGTATTGGACTGGTGGGATTGCCGAGCCTTTTTGACAACATGCCGAGTAGCCCACTCGGACCTTTCGACTATCGCCTTGAGTCCTTTCGAGTTTCCAGTGAAGGGCACCGCAAGATTGGCAAGGGTCATTCATCTCGCCAACGGTGAAAGGAATCTCGCTGCCAAACCGGCGAACAATCTCAGCTTCAGTATTACTGGCTGGGTTGCTCGCAAAAACTCGGTCAATGCTAGGCTGGACCATTTTTATACTGCAAAAATACAGGATACAGGAGAAGGAAATAAACAGTTAGTTTGCAATCGATGAAGCAGTCTTTTTAGGTAGGTCAGAAAATTGATTATTGAACTTACCAGGTTTTTTAAACTGGACAAATTGAATTTGGAGGAAAGCAACTACGTCAATGAATCAATTGATCAACGGTTGGATAGAGCTCTGGAATTAACAATAGCGATATGAAATGATGTCAGTTACCCATCTTGCGAGAAATCATGCTGAGGACCCACCTTAAGACAAACTCTGAGAACTTGATCGAGCAAGGAATAAAAATAGAAATGCAGATGACGATCGATACAATGGGAGTCAAAACTGATGAGTTTGATTGAAAACTGGAGCGAAAATCTACAGAAACATGTGGTTGTTGAGAATGGTACTGGGAATTCACATGATCATAAAAAAGACATAAGTATTAATGATGACACACCTTAGGATACAGCTCTTATAGCTATTTTGCTATTTGAAAAGCAATGGCTAATGGCTAAGATCGAACGGTTTGAGACTGGAAATTATCTATCTAGTTTTTTTTTATTTTCTGAATTTTCTGGAGCTAAAAAAATAAACCAGGTAAACCAGGCCTAAAGTTGGTTAGTTGAAGGATTTGACGGACAAAGATGTCAGTCAAGTATTGAGTGTTGAGAATCAAGGATCGAGGATGAAACAATGATTGAGACTTTCTTACTTACTGTTATGTTATAATGTGTTAATTTTCTGTTTTTATATTTTTTATCGGCGGATTCTTTCTGGACTGGATTCTGGACTCTAATTCTATTCTATTCTGATTGTATTGTATTTCTGTTTTATGCGGCTTGTGTTGTGTTTGGTTGGCAGTAGCTAAGTTGCGTATAGGGAGAAAGAGTGTCACCTTTTAAATGTTCAGGCAAAAACTTGCCATATTTTGTCTCAAAAATGGTCAACTGCCCTGAAATCAAATCCGAGATCCCAGCATTCCAAGCGATGTTGATTGGTGAATATTTCCAAGTCATGTGGAGATTGATCTGGATAAATACTTGATGAATTTCTTTCAGTATTTCTTTCAGCGCTATTGCTGAGTTACAAAAAAACGGAAGCAAGGATCTACTTTCAATATTTTCTACAACTTTCTGTAATCAAGATATTGGAAATTAGAAATATTGGAAATAGGAGAGATGATGATACTGAATCACGTGCCATTTTAGAGGCATAGCTAATGTGTAGATCTGAAACTCTTTTTATTTTTGAATGGTCTGAAAACTCTTTGTCATTAACTTTTCTGTGTTGGCTGTCTTTTTCAATAGACTTACAACCCTTTCATGCGCTTCTTGGCATCGGCAAGCACACCCTTTGGAGTTTGCCTCTTTTGAAAAGTATTCACAAATTGAGGTTCAGGGGCAGCTTCAGTAACTTCTCCATCTTCGAACTTGGGGTTGGCTGGAAGAGTCCCACTGCCAGAAGGTCCGGCACCGGCAGGAGATTGGTAGTTGTTGACGTTAGCCGCATTACCGTGGCCACCGTTGTTGGAGGGTTGTTTGGTTGGAATCAAGTTGGTTTGTTCGCCACCGAGTTGTATCCTGAGTAATTACCCGCAATCAGGGAATCATTAGCATTTGGATCGATTGACTTGAAAAATACAAAAGTGGTCATGAATGGAGATCAAGTGGTGTGTACTTACAATCTGGGTCTACGGTGGGTGTTTCCTGAGCGAGCGCCGCGTTGAGGCGCCACCACTGTGGCTGCTTGATTGCCAGAGGTTGGGGCAACTGTGGTCACCTGAATCGTTTTGTGAGATAAGTCAGCAAATGTTTGAGGATACAGCGTAGATACGTAAAGATGAGCTGATTGGGATGAAGGAGGATTTACCTTAACTTCCCACATCTTATCTTTGGAAATGTAGCCGCTAATATAACCCAAGATCGCGGTTTCGCGACCAAGGCGAAACAATCCGAAAGTCTTGCCCAATATTTTGTTGCCAAGGACGATGTACGTGATTTTGAACTCAACTTTGGAGCGAGACTGTTATATTAATAGCAGATGATAATCCAAATTGAAACAGTGAGGTAAGCAAACAATAGACAAAGCGTCTTGAGTGAATGATTTTCAAAAAGGATGGTACCTACCATGTTATCATAATCGGTGTGACGGAGTACGACATGCAGGTTGGTTTGAGGAGCGTTGCCAATCCCCAAGCCAGGAACTTCTTCGTGTTTGATGACTATACCAAAACCTTTGATCACTACCTTGTTGGCTAACGCTGACATGTAGGTGGAGCTGTCGCCAATGTTCAAGGTGACCTCTTGCTCGCAAAAGAGGACTGGTGGCACATCTTTGTTGCGTGCAATCAATCTACCGTGGAGGATGTAAACTTTGTCCGCTTGCAGGGCACTTGGAACCAAGCCGTAGCAGTTGGCCTTGATCATGATGTTGGTTTCATCGCCATGGGTAGGGTCCGTAAAGCCGATGGTAGTGTCGTATTGGAATTGACCATAGGTCGTATCACCGCCTCCGATTTGACCGAGCTGAGGGAGAGGAGGATAATGAAAAGAATTAGGATCAGCCTTTCAACACATTTAAGTGATATCAAATGAATCAAATCAAATTAAAGCAGTTAACTTACACTCGCAATTATATCGAAAGGTCCGTGGAGTGTTGCTGGGTGAAATATGTGTCGGAATGCCACAGCATTATTGCTTTTGGTCTGCATCAGTGTGATATACGTTACCTGTGCACTTGAATGGCAAATTGCAAAGGATTATTAATGTGGTTTTTCTGTTTGGATGATTACTGTGTACTGATTAGAAAACTCAATCGAGGACTTACTTTTATATGCCAGGGTCAAGACCGTAATGGAGAGGATGGGGAGGAAGCCATGAATAAAGCTGAAAACCTTGTATGATCATTGATGGAGTTGATTGGGAATTTTCCGAGACATACCGTGTAGACTGCGAATTTGATAAGCGGATTGTCTGGAACTTCAACCTAGAGAAGTTGGGGCAGGCCTGGCAATCTGCGACCCTAAGCTTTCGGCTGCGTAAGTGATGGACAAACCAAACCTGAGAGAGAAATTGAATGAATAGCGGTGTCAGCCATGAATAGCAACTACAGTGGATAATGGAATGATGAACCGATCGACGCACGTACCTGCTAGCGATAAAAGAATAATAGTGATTAGTGATACCTGCTAGCGATAAAAGAATAATAGCGATTATTGATTAGGAACAATGGATCTGCTCACCTGAGAATTACAAAGTAGGACCGGCTAACCGAGGAAGTCCCGGGTGAGTGGCACAGTATGTCGGAGTGCTATGCGATTGATCCTCGTGTACCGGCTTGATGGTATGTTGGAAGACGTGCCGCCGTCAAGGTCTTGGAACTCACCAAATCCGAGACCTTGCCTGCGGAAAATCTTGATTATAGTGGACCTTTGGCTAATGAACCACTATATTCATAATTAATTATAATATGTTATACCAAAAAAAAAAGCTAGATAAGGATGACGGTAAATAACTATCAAGCTTGCGATTGCCGAGTTGCCGAATTGCAAGAGCCAGCGATCTTTGAATCCATCCAAGGTTTGAGCGTAAAACAAAACAAAAAAAGTTTGAGCGTGCACCTGTGAATGATCTGTGAGTAAAGAACGGACACGACGTCTTCAATCCCTATAAATCACTACTAATCACTGCTACGAAGGTCATGCATGGTACAATTTGGTATGATTAGACTATGGGCTCATGGACTCATATTGGGCTGAAGCCCGCCCACTTGGCCGGGTAGCCTAAGGGGAAACTGCTGCCCGATTTTTCGAGGTAAACTGACACTTCAGGGTTTGTAATTCTTTTGTCTTTTCACCATTCACCTTGTGACTGTCCTTTGGTCTTTGATCTGATTATCTAGTCTCAGGCCCACAAGAGGCTCTCTTGTTGTTATTTATGAATCTTATTATTGTGTTATCAATCCAATTACTTATCCTTGTGTTTTATCATTTCAACTAACTTTGAAAAATTCCAGTCTTTCTCTTCTTACAATGACTGGCTCATAAATTTGTTTTAGGAGCAATGAGCATGTCACCCTTACCAAAGAAAATCAACAGCAACCTTCCACATGGATGTTTATTACTGACAGCCACAATTTCCAGAACAGATACCTCCTCTTCCAGTCTCTCTGAACACAAAACCAATTCAATAGCTACAGATAACAGAATCACCAAGACTTTTAGGATTGTCTTTGAAAAAATGCATCAATTGGCTTGCTTGATTTTGGATCAGCAATGCTCATCCAAAAGTGGAATCAAGCTACATAATCATAGCCTCTGAAAATATGGTTAGAGGCTAAAAAAATTCTTGGTTATGTTTTATGTATGTAAAGATGATGGAGATGTATTGGGTAGATTAAATATTTTGGATGGGGAATGATTTGGATGTCATTTCTTGCTGCTCCAAGATATGCTCCTGGACCCACTACATCCCAAGTTAAATCAACACCAGGGGAATTCCTTGTAGCTCCTACCCTTCAAACAACAAATTTGCAATCCTATTTTGACCTCAAATTCTCACTGCAAAGATCTTTCCTTGAAAATTTCCTGGAGAGTTCTTTAGAAACTTCCTTGAGCAAGCCATTCTTGTTGAGGGATTAGCGAAGCCCTCTAAATTTCTTGTAAATTGACCACTAATGTGATTTCTCTTATAGAAATAGGCCAGTCCCTTGCCCAGATTTTTAACACATGATGTCGACCACCAAACCAAGAGAAATATGGTCCAGTGGTGTGATAAAGTCCCCCCGTCTCGAGTTGACTCCCCCGAGCGTCGGGGAGTCGGGGGGGGCAGAGTTAGTTTTGAATATTCAATTTACCATTTTTTGCTGTACCCTCCACTCCTTCACTCATTTTCCCAGAGACATCTTCACAGACAAGTAAACCCGAAACGAAGGACTACAGCCCCATCGACGACAAGGAAATCAATCCAAGATGGTAAGCAGAAGATTAATTCCATGAGGGAGGCTTGAAACTAAATTGTTGTTGTTTTTTATCCGGCGATGGTCAACAGAAGGTCAAAGTGCTATCACGGTCATTGGATAATTTCATGCCGATTGCCCATGGGGCACCAGCGCCGATCCACAAGAATCTAGACCCTACGCTCCACCCACATTCACGTGCACGAGAGTACACCCGTGCGGTGACGGCAACGAAGTTGAACCGGATGTTTGCGAAGCCGTTTGTGGGTCAACTGGATGGCCATCGAGACAGCGTATACACGATGGCCAAGGATCCGCTCAAGTTAACTCAAGTCGCTTCTGGCTCAGGAGATGGGGACGTCAGGGTGTGGGATCTGGCTAATCGGATCTCGACGATCAGCCTGAAGGACGCACACAAAGGCAAAGTGACCGGCCTGACGTTTCTTCCTAACCGGTACATCGGCGAAGGCCGTTCGAAGACCTACGACCAATCACAAGCCTCCTCTTCAAAGCGCCTCTCATTACTCGATCCTAGTGGCTTATTGGATGAGGAGGAAGGAATCAATGAAGATATTCTGGCAGACCTGAAGGAAAATGAAGAACTACATGAAGCAGAAGAACGTACGAGCAGGCTGGGGAGTAGGAAACTATTGAGCTGTGGGATCGACAAGGTGGTCAAGATGTGGGACATCGGTCCAGGTGCCAACTTCGAATCCGAACAGGATCGATTGGTGATGACTTATCAAGGAAAGCATGGTTTTAACTCTATCGATCACCATCGCCATCAACCTTTATTCGTCACCGCCAGCGATAGGATTCAGCTATGGGATGTCACTAAGTATGTAATCCCTTGCTCACTTCGTTTCAAAGCAGTCTGCCAATACCATCTCCATTTCTGTTTATAGATCCTCACCTCTGTCCGATGTGTCCTGGAATTCTTCTCGAGCCGAGGGAAGCACATCTAAGTCCAGCGACAATTACTCGGGAGAACAAATAGCGTAAGCGCCATTTATTCTGTTCTTTTATCACCGAACTGGCCAACGTGTATTGATTTCGACCACTTGTTAGATGTGTGACATTTTCACCCTCCGAGACGAGCGTGCTAGCCTCCTCGGGCTCCTCCTCGAATCGGGCGATCACCCTCTACGATCTAAGGTCGAATAAGTCATTGGGTCAACTGATCATGAAGATGCGAGTCAACTGTCTGAAGTTCAACCCCCAGCAACCTTCAACCTTATTAGCTGGCGGCGAAGATCATCAGCTGTACACTTTTGATATCAGATACATGGGTTCTGCGACTCAGGTTTTCAAGGACCATGTTGGACCGTAAGTCTTCCTCTTTGTTTTTTCCACGGATCCATTGCGTCCAGCCAACAACGCCCTGACAAGTCTCGTACATTGGCGTCGGTTCAACATTGTCGAAAATTGAAAACCTGCTCGATTATTGGAACGAAAATGAAGTGTGATGTCATGTGACTGGTCGCCAACCGGCCGAGGATTTGTGTCTGGCTCATATGATAGAACCTTAAGACTATGGTCGACGTCAGACACGACTCTGCACAAAAAGGGACGCTCGACAGATGTTTACCACACCAAGCGGATGCAGCGGATCTTTGCTTCTCTCTACAGTTGTGATAGCCAGTACGTCCTCAGCGGTAGTGATGACGGGGCGGTCCGGATCTGGAAGGCCGGCGCTTCTGAGCCGGTTGGCGTTAAAAGTGGCCGCGAGCTTGCCGCGAAAGAGTACCGGGATCAGCTCAGACAGAAATGGTCTAGCATCGACACTGTCTCTAAAATTGAGAGGTTCGTCATCCACCATTTCCACCCCATTTACTTTGATCGAAACTTTCTTCCTCTGACACAAGATCCTCATTTGCTAACATCCAAATTCCATCCACCCCTCGGATGTTTAAATTGAACGATCCAGACAAAGATATCTACCTAAGCCGATCTACCATGCTCAAAAGCTGCGGACAGAGATGCTCGAAGCACGTGCGAAAAAGGAAGACAATCGTCAAGCTCATTCCTCGAGCAAAAAACGTAAAAATCTGGCGTCTTCTGATCGTGAAAATGATAAGAAAAAAGCCAAATCTGGCAAACCAAAAGTCATCAATGAACGCAAGAAAGGCTTGTTGGCTATCCAAGAATGATGATCTGCCTCTTCCTCCCCGGTTGCTCTCCCTCTCTTAATCCCCCTCACTCGAGTCTTTTTTGGCAAGATTTTGTTTTTGTCTTGTCAGGGACAGATTAGGTGTACCCTGGCTTTCTATGGCTTGCTTTTGTTTCTTGTGAATTTGTTTGTAATTGTAATACCCCTCAAGATAAAAACATGCTTACAGATCTTTGAATAAATAATATAAGAACAAATCACATGTGGAACCGAAGAAGAACAGATCTCGCTGTATTACATGGTAGTACCTTATAGGTGAGATTCATTGGATCACTGTATCTGGAACATCATGCAGCTTCCAATCATGAACAATCATTATAAGCAAAGTTCTGTTTGTATATTGGTACTGCAAAGGGAAACCGGTTCAGTATCTTGATCATCTTTTGCCCACGAAGAACTTCTCCCCCAAGATCCAAGACTGTTCCAGGACCATTGCGATTCAGACAGAGCAAAGAAGAGAGATCCAACTAATGGAACTACCACATCAATATTAGAAAAATGAAGTGCTACATCTACTTCTTTTGCACTTTGGAGAATGAAGAGAGTGATGGTTTCTATTCTTGAATTGAAATCTAAATCTCTATCTATCTATAGATGTATCAACAAGGATCCAAGTGATAAATACAATAACATAAAAAAAAAAAGAAAGACCAAACAGAAGCGCCTGTGATAGGCGTTGATAACTGTGGAAAACTGGATTGACTCGAGAAGAGGTCTGAAAGCCTTAATGTGAGGAATGATTTGAGTCGGAAGAAGGAGAAGGATTAGGAATGGTCGATGTATTTTCTAAGCGCTGTTGAGCTTGATGGATTCCTCGAAAGATTTCAGTAACACTTTCGGCGGGCAGGTCGAGTTGTTTCTGCAATTTGAGGACCATATCTTGCGACAAGATCATCTCATTGATTTCCGAGTTGGCTTCGTGTCCATTGATTCTCTTCCGATCGCTCGCCTTTCCATGCTTCTGGGTGTGGGCATAAAGGCTGTCGAGGATCGGGGAGGCGATCGGACGGACGTGTCCGGATTCGAGCATTTGGTGTAGATAACGTGATGCTTTGTATGCTGTGGATTGGCGCGTTCGATGAGTCCGTTCATATAATAATCGATGTATGGATACAAGAGTGACTAAAGTTAAGCCTCTCATATCGATAAGTAAGCCTATGAATTCTGCTCACCTCTCCAATGACTCCAAGACCTCCACCTAACCCCCCAGACAAAAAGACAAGATAACAAGATGGTTCAATGACCTGCCTGAAAACTGTTTTGGAAAGTTGAAAAAAGGAGGAAAAGATCTGCGGCGACTTACATCATGTAAAAGAATGGCAGGTTGGGAATTAGAGGTACTATGGCACAAGGTAAAGTGAGAGGAGATAGAAAAATGTTCAATTTCATCCATTTCCTGTGATACGGTTCGCTTTCGGCCATCGAGTGCTGTAGTCCATTCATGAGTTCTCGTTCCACACATAGAGAGCCTGGATACAGCAATTCAATCTTCAAAAAATTGGTTTTGTTTTTGGGAGAATATTTCGGGACAGATAGTTGTCAAATGGTAATTTTTTTTTTTGAAGCAAAACAGTGACTGATTCAGCTACTCACGACTTGGCTTGTTTTTTGTGCTTCTTTCAGCTCAGTTTGATTCTTTTGGTTGTGGCTTTCGGATGGAAGAATCTTGTGTGGAATGTGTGGAGGATCGATTGATTTCAAGGCCCATTCTTCGAATGGAATCTTATCCATCATCCGTTCTCCCGTGTTCTAATAATAAGATGACAGTGATTAACAATAACGAGTAGCATACTATCCATCAGATTTTCGGTCAAACACATCAAATGACAAAAAGAAAGAGAAATCAAGTGAACACCATCATCCTGGTTGAATATCCAGATAGAATAGCTAGCACCAAGATATTTAAGGACGCACATAAATCTTCAACTTCCAAGAACCATGAGCTGAATTAGCCAACTTATTCCACTGTTTCGTGCCAGTATCCGTCATTTTTTTGATCAGAGAAGAGGGTGATAGGTTGAATGAAGCGTGGCTTGGAAGACTGGTTTCGCTCGATTTCTGGTCGGCCAGCGAAGGGAGTTGCTGAGCATAGAAGTAGATCAGCGTGTTCGATCGCTTCGAGAGAGGTAAGGCGATCAGTCTGATGGATGGCTTTGTTAGTAGCATCCTCGCTGATTGGTGGATATGTTTAGTCGAGGCTTTTGAAAGGTGAAGTCTAGTTGACCATCTGATTCGATATGGTTGATTCTTGTTCATCCAAGTTGCTGTGTCAGTGTGACCACATCGAAATGTCTGGGCTGCCTCCCACGGGGGTCCCCGAGTTAGACCGACGAGTAACCTCGTCCTCGACCTCAACACAGCTTGCACCACCAAAATCCACTTGGTGCAGTCCATTGATTCCAATAGCAACCTCAACTGAAATCATTATGTTTCACAAAACAATTCCCACAGGACACAGGTTGGTTGTGAGGGGAGTTAAAAGACTAAGCCTTTTGAATCATCAGCTCTCATCTGACCCAGTTTTTTTTTATTTGTTGCTCTATTGCAAGGCAGAATTCCGGGAGACAGACATTCAGGAAACCAAGAGATAGAACGAAATCAAAGCTATATACAATGCAATAGTGATTTTTTCTTTTATTCTTTTCGGGGGTTTCTTTCTTTCAAGATGGTATACATGCAGATTTTTCTCTTTTTTTGTGAGATGCGTTGAGGGGTTATATGAGTGTGATACAGAACATATGAAGATGTGGATTGAAAGTGCGAGATGAAAACCACCAATATATAGATAAAAAACTACTTCAACTCTAGATCGAATCACTACTCTTCCTGTTAGCCTTTAGATGCTCTATAACAAATTCGTGATCACCTCCGATGGCAAAAGGCGATTCTAGTTCGATAAAGCAGTTCTGGCTGCCTTAACTGTCTTGTCCCTTGGCCCCATAGTGTCAAAGCTAATGATCGAAGGGTGTTGTATGAGTGAATATTGAATTTTGTGGTAAGAACTCAAGTTTTGGATGGGTTACTCACAAGAAGACGCCTCCCAAGTTTTTAGAGTTGGCGTATTCCACCTTAGCCACGGTACTTGCGGTATCATCATAAGTGATCAAAGTGGTTTCGCTGGCAAGGAATGGCTAGGATGAGAAAAAAAATCAAGACAAAGGTTATCAGATTATTTCGTTCAAATATGAGTTTGTCTTCGGCCCTCAAGCTTGTAGTTCATCTCTTCAGGCGTATGAGAGGCAGAAGGACTAACCTCTCCGGAACATTCGTCATAATATCGCGTGTAACCTTTTCCGCCACTGTTTTCATCTTCGTTCAAGAAACCGGCAGTAACTAATTCATTGACGAGCCATGAACCACCATAGCCAGTTTTTTGACCACAAACATCTAAACCAGGTTGATCATCATATCTGCCTCCAGCCTATCAGCCAATCCGAAAACAAAAAGGTAAACTCATTTAGATCAATTGGCTCTGAAAAAAATCTCAAAAAATCATCCGTTATTACTCACTGGAATACCGGTGTAATTCTGGTAGTAGTAACTGGTGTAATTGCCCACGATTCTTGGTGTGAGTTCCGGCTTGGCCAAAGTCCAAGACTTCGCATATCCGGGGATCCCCAGGCTCAATTGCTCCGGTTTGAAACCTTGCTTGAGGTAGATTTCAATGGCAGTCTCGACTGATAACTGGTTCTCAGGATCAGCGCATGTAGCTCTGATTGGTGCGTTGGGCCCAGTGGTCTTGGTGAAGCTGCCATGAACTGTAAGAAAAGAAATAAAATGGACATGCAATTAACATGACGTGGATTAATTTGGTCGAGAAGATCTTTCAAAATTTACCATCATAAGCCATGATTCTCCTGTGGGATGTCAAATTTTGGGATTTATAGAGGAACAGAAAAATCACAAACGTCAGGGGAGAATAACTTCTTTAAGAGTGAAGTGATGGGAGCTCTGTCTGTACTGTAGTGGGCGCTTACACTTCGTCGACAACTTGTGCCATCAAGCTAACGTCAGACGCTGGCAATTTTCCGTAGTTGGCATCCCTGATACCCGCGATGCTCTGTGCTGTAGACAGCTTTCCTTCGGGCCATTTACTTTTAACTTCCTACATAGGTTGAAGCAAGGAAAAGAAATTCCAATCAAGATTATTAGCTCTAGGCTTACGCGGTATTGATCTTAGTATGCCATTTACCTTGAAGAGTAATTGTTGGTTCTGCACGTCTGCGTCGTTGACGGTGTTGCAGCCGATTCCTTGACTGATGACGCGTTATAAGAAGCATGAATTAATGGATTTTACTTTGAATTTATACAGATTCTTTCAAGATAAAGAGGTTACCTACATACTGGCATCTGTTGATCAACAAACCAAGGGCCAAATTTTGAGTGATCTATTGTACTTGTGGGTTAAGCGGAAGCAAAGAATGTAAGGCGAAGTAATGCTCACACTCCCAATCAAAATCGATTCCTTCGAAACCGTATTTCTTGGCAAAACTGATTGTTGAATCGGCAAATGCGGTCCGGTTCTCCGAAGTAGCCGTAAGCGCTGAGAAGTATCTGCAAGGATTTGGTGAAGTCAGAAAACTCAAAAGGCAACCAGCGGGGCGCACTACTGATTTTAAACTCAAGTTGACTGAATTGCTGCTAACCTGGAGCCTCCCCACCCTCCAACAGCATAAGTAGGCGTGACCGAGTCTGGATAATTTTTTTACCTCGATGCTGATGAGCACAATCACGACGAAAGCATCAAGGGAATTGAGTGATAAGTAAATAGGAGGCTTACGGTTTTTACAGCTCTTGACAAAATCAAAAGCCAAAGAATCCCATTCATTTTGATTCAAAGGATAGGTACCAAGTGTGAAGTTTTCAGTTGTTGTTGCCACAAAGAAGATTATCTCATCGTAAAGGTCTATCAGAGAAATTTATGCAGAAGTTCACATATAGCATGTGTTGAATCAGACGATGCTTCTCAGTAAGATGTATCCCTGGAAAGTAAACTGGGATGTGCCCGGTGTGAAGAACATTTTAAGGCGAGCACTGACCATATCTAAGCTCCGAAAGTGGCTGTCCCTCAGCGTTGTAAACGGGATAATACCCTGCAAGCTTTCTCCCGCCAGTTTTTTTGGGGTTTGAGTTGGCATTGTGGGTGCTGTTGCCACTACCCACGTCAGGGATCATAGTAGTATTTGTTATGGGGAGATCTGTGCTGAATTGCACCTTAGCGCTATTGCTGTGGGCTTCAGCAGAAGACGAAGAGCTTGAAAAAGACACAGAGACATGGCCGTTGGGTGGCGCTTGGCTGGTTGCGAGAGCCGGGAGGCTAATAAGCAAAACCCTTAAGAATTGTGATACCATGTTGGAACTAACAGCTTTCGATAGTGATGGAGAATAGTTCCACAGTCGATGAGAAAGACTGGAGGAATGATGGCATCTCCTTTCCAGCTCCAAGCATCGTATTTTTATACGCGTTCTGGACCAAGGTCATCATCGCTTGGGTGCCCTCCTTACCTGAGATGAAACTAGAGCCAAGCAAGTTTTGTAAGACTGTGCCGAAGCCTCTCGGACTCAGTGGAGATGTTCCAGTTCTTGTATGTGTGATTCCAACCCCACCATGAAAACATTTTGACTTGGGGAAGTCCCCCATCGAACAGTCCTAGATCATCCGTGACCCCATTTCCATAGAGTCTTCAAGACTGTCAAAATTTATCCTTACAGATGTGTACCGGGCCAAGAATGTAATAAAGCCTGAGGTATAGGTACAGTGCTTCTTGTAAGGAGCTAACATATCAAGAGCGGCAAATGGCTTCTCACTATTCGTCCAGCGCCAGTAGTTTTACTGACGTTAATGATGTCATTCAGGTACCTTTGGCAGTAACTATTGCTGCGCAGAACAAAATTCCTACTTACTGACATCCGATCCACCATGAAACTGCGAATGACACGGCATGTTCTGGTAAGGCTGGTGGCGATGCCCAGTCCATGGTCATTATGAAACAAGCTGGAAGCTTCCTTCCGAGGTGTAGATTCATCTGACTCTTTCCAGAGGGAGCATAAAATGTTACAGCAGATTTGTTGTTTATGTGTTTCTTGGCTTGTCATCGGTTAATATAACTGATTATACCAGCTTGAAGTTCAAGCTATATCCAACAATAATTCTGTCGATCAATCAGAGTGTGATCAGTTGTTCTCAGGAGGATGCAAAATCTCATGGCTTGAGTGAACATGGTCAAAGAGCTACATAGCTCAAACTTCAATAGCTCCTAAACTAACAGATTCCAAACTTGGAAACAAAATTAATCTTAATTTTCCGCAAGATGTCAACTTTGGAAATTTATAATGAGACACGTGCCAAAGCCTTATTAGACTAAGTTTAATCCAGCCCGTTTGGAAGCTGGTACAACAGAAGGTAAGGCTTATACATCCTGACAGTTGTTAATACATTTTCAGAATGGTACAGGACCAAATGCACAATCATCTCTATGTTCTCCCATTATTCCCAAGTATGTATCTATAGTAGAAAAATCTTCAAAGGGGTGCAAAACATTGAATTCAGTTTTCAATTGTTTTTGAGAATGTTTTCAGATGCAGCTTTGATTCTTTAACCAGAGACATTGTGGTCAAACAAAGTATGAAACCCATTTCAGGTGAGTTGGAACTGGCAGAAATAATAAGAATTGTTGGCCTTTTGAACTCAATCAAGAATAATCAAACTAATTGGAAGTTAAAGAGGATGGTTTGAACCAAAAAAATAACAGGGCTTTCAAGCCACCTCTGAGGGATGATTTGAAGTCTGTAAAAGTGAAGAAATGAATTTAAACCAGGATGCATCTAATTGTAAGAGAGAAATTCCCAAGCCATGATGACTGCAATAAAGTCAGGTCTGGCTCAAACAAGATTATTTTTAGGCAACATGGCCCACCAGCCTTATCCATATTTTAGTATGTTACTTGGCCAGGGGAATGATTGATGGGATAGGAGTTTAAAATGAAAGGGGCATGAGTTTGTGTGTGGGAGTTGGAAAGACAGAAAGTGGCAAAGAACCCAAATATTGTGTGTGCCTGGTCCAAAGGAAGAATAATGCTGATCAATTTTTGATCCCATATATTCAACCAGTGAAATCAAGAAAGTTTGGATCAGCAAAGTCAAACAAAAAAGTTTACTGAACAGGATACTGAACAACACCTTGTTTATTAAAAGGACCCTGGACAGTACAAAATGAGAATGTGGATCCATGATTGTATCTACAGACTTATTTGACAGTGTTGAATCAAAGGAGGAACAAGAACTTAACCTAGCTCATCCAAAAGGAACAGAAGGCAGTGAGCTTAAACAATGAAGAGTCTCAAGAGTGAAGAAATAGAAGCTTTTCTAAGGTATTTGTAATAGGAGTAATTCTGCTTCAAGGAATCACTCAAAGATAGATTGAGAATACTCATTCATCATTCAAGAAGGTTTCAACATGGAGGATGGATCATCAATTGTTCAATTTTGTCTATTTTATCTTTACGCTCATTAAATACAGCACAATCATAATAATTGGAGCAGTCAATCATCCTGCACTTATGTTGTTAAACTCTATTTCATCATTTGGTTTGTTATTATTTTAGCTTAATTCAGTCTATGATCTTTCAAAGAAATACATCTTGGTTCTCTGAAACATTTCATTGAGAAGGGTTCAAACTTAGTCGCTACTTAATCTTCCATTGATGCTTTCACACCATAATCCCTTGATGTGTTTTTTTGTAATAGGTTTTTGTTTCCAAACAAAAAGAAGAATAGCTTGAGGATTGTGGAAAAACCAGAAAAGATACAAATTCACAATATGTCATGATTTTCAAGAATGAAATCACAACAAAACCATTATAAAATAGATGCAAGAGGAAATATTGGATAAGAATAAAAATGGAATGATCATGAAGTGAACAGAAATTAAGTTTTCAATTCTGTGAGTGAGTGGGAGACCAGTTTTTGTAATGCAAAATTAACACCAAATATGGAAATTCAAGAGGCAAGTTCCTTTTCCAAGGGAATTGATCAAAATGCTCTTGAAAGATAAATACAAAGTCACAATTGGAGTAAGATTCTGGCATAGTCTCATGACAAGGGATATCTAAATTGGAATTCAAAGGGTCTAATTTTCCAGTTGTTATAAATTCTGATTATTTTTATTTGAATTTTATTGAAACATTTTTCCAATAAATTGAAGTCCAATCAAAAACTCTTGACTAGGGGGTGATACCCATGTGTACAAGTAAGCAGAGAAAAAACGCCTTCAGGTATTGATATGGATTTTTGCTTGAAACATTACATTTTTTGAGGAATCGTTTTTGAAATCTGATATCTCGTTCAAGTTTTTCAATTTCATTTTGAATCTTGTTGGCCTCATAATATCTACAGTTTTGGTCATCATGATCAATATGTTCTTTGTGGTTGGATACAATCTTTTCAAAATGTTTGGATATGTAATACAGTTCTTCATGAAGTGGCATATTTTTATTTGTTCTTCTTAAAAATTGAACTATCAAAGGGTGTTTTTCTATTGCTGAAAAGTGTATGTGCACATAAGTGCTGATTTTCTCTAATTCTGCTTGAAATTGACGGCTTTCATACATTAAGAGATACTTCTTCCAAAATCTGGGGTATCTTTTGGAGATTGCTTGCATGAAAACAGGATAGTTATCCCCAATAAATCTCAAAGCTTGAAAGATAGCTGAAAGTTCATAATAGTATATTTGATTTGGATCTTCTATAGACTCAATTTTTTCAAAATTTTCAATTAGATATTTTATGATTGTTTGTAAGTATTGAATACTCTCATTATCTCTTGATTGTTTATTCAATGTTTCCAGTTCATCGAAAAGCTTGTTATCCTTGAAAATAGCTTCATATAATTCTTCCATGGAACCCTTCATTGATTGAATCTTGATACTATCCTTAAATCCAAAATATCTTCTGAAGACAACTCCAACTGAAATAAAATTGAACATCCTTTGTTGTTTAGGCTCAAGGACTTCAAACACATAGTAGTTGGTTGGGATATGATTGGACAAATGATTCAAATGATCAGCTTAAATTATGATTATGGGCCAAATTTGTCTCTCAACTTACCTTCACAAATTTCCCTAGCCTGTGAACCATGCCAGCCATTAAAGATTTGTTTACCATCACCCAAAAAAGTGAACCTTGGATGCCAATAGCTGCCAACAGAATTATGGATCATATTTTCTGCAACCTCACGCAAAGCCTCTTCTTGAAACAAAGAAACATAGTCTTGTTGACTAATCAAATGATTTCTATACATGAAGTTAATCACTTCACAGGAAAGGATATGTATAGGAAGCTTCTCATTGGGTGGTGCATCTTCATCATTCCTTGATTCTGGCATTAGAACCAAAATCTCCTCAACCAAACTTTTTCCCAACTTGTCCATGATTCTTTCAACAGAATCACCACGCAGAATTGAATCTTCTATCTCTTCTTGTAAATCTTGATTATCCCACTTTTCCAAGTAGAATTCAATTTTGGAATTTTTTGAGAGTGGTTGAGAATTCTTTGAAGACTTTTTGGTTATTCCAAGTGGGATTGAATTCTGTGCATAATCTGAATCAGTTCCTAACTGATCAATATCCCTGCAAATAAGATCATGTTTAAAGATTTCAAAATTAAATGAATCAGCTCCAATGACCACATAATATCACACTTTCACATCCAGATATATCTGGAAGTTGCCTTGCTCACATGTCTTGTTTACCAGGCACCCATTCTTTTTCAGTCTTTCTACGCCTTTTGGGTTTGGTCAAGTAATTGGTAATGTAAGGTGTAGAAAGGGTAAATTCTTCTCCTTTCAATTCAGCCACACGATGTAATACAGGCAGTAATAGATTGCCCTGAATTTCCTCTAATCTCTTGGTATATTTTTTGTGATAATTTTTGCAGGAATCACTTTCTTTAAACCTCAAGAGATACTTTTTCAAAGCCAATCTCTCCTCATCCATTGATTGAACTGCAGCTGATGAATGAGAATGAATCAGTCCATGGCTCTGGGAAAGGAAATTGTTGGATGAAAAGAAATACCTTTTCTTTCTTGCTCAGATTCTGGAATCCTTGCAGCCCCTATCATGAAAAATTGGAATAGTTCTCTATTCAACAAATGCTTGTCAATCCTTCCTATTAATTTGTTGAGAAACCTTACTCTTTTTTTCCCATCTAGTATTCTTCAATGGATTCAGAATGTTGATAATGCATTGCTCAGGACTTTCTTTTTCTTCAAAACTTGCAACATATCCCTGTGGATTGACTGCTAATGTGTTGAGTGCTGTGAGTGTTTTTGGTTAATATATACAGTTAGATGGGAAGGTCAATTAGAAATTTATAATCTAGATGTTAAGAGTAAAATGTAGATGATGGCACATAACATACTTGCTCCAACTAGCTCATGATTTGGCACATGACCTGCCTGTGTCAACTCATTCAAAGGTTTAGATTGTGTTCCTTGCCAGCAGAGCCCAGAAAGCAAAACTATCATTTGATGATAACTTGCAGGAAGTATCATTTCAGATCTTTAGCTAGGAGGAGTAATTTGTCAAGTAGGTATAAGAAAATGTCTAGCTATGTAAGGAAACTGCCTAGCTAGGATAAAAACACTTGAGTGCTGTAACAAATGAATCCTTTACTCTTTGGCTCATGAGGATAGTTTTAGCTCCATGTTTGCCGACCCACGTCTATGTGTTTCCTCTGGCGGTTACATCGATACAGATTGTCAGCAACCGTTCCATCCGGCCAAGCTGAATCGTCATTGTTTCTGTCACCAAAGAGAGCAGCATGTAGCATAATGGTCTTCCCGCACCAGGTGTAGGGTTGGCGGCGCCACCGTTGAGCTGGGGGCGCCGAGGCGCGCCTTTTGCAAGCCCTCCAGGGCGCGCCCACTGGTGGGGGCGCCAGGGCGCCGCTGTTTGGTTTTTTGGGACTAAATATGGCGGAAATAAGGATCTTTCCTGTTTTTTGGGTTTTTTTTTCTTAAATTCCTTGTCAATGAGGCACAAAAAAAATTATCAGTCTCAATCAATGGGGAGCCAAACATCCATAGGGTCTCAGCCACCATCAATATCTTCAGTTGGCTGGGCTACTTACTCAGGGTTTTGGTCCCTGGGCCCTTAGGCCCATAGTACTGCTGGGAGGGCGCGCCTGGGGGGGTTTTTGGGCATTTAGGCGCGCCCCCCCGTCGCACCCCGTCGCCTCGGGGTGCGACAGCGCCCAGGGCGCGCCCCGTGACTGGCGCCGCCAACCCTAACCAGGTGAACGTATGTAACCATCTCTTCTGGCTTGTTCACCTCATCGATCCCGGGAGGGGGGGGGGGGGGATGAGGGGGCCTCCCATAGCCTTGTTGGAGCAGGAGGACACACCCTGACCCGGAGCCATTCAGATGCACCACACATCTCGCCGTCTGGGAAGAGCTCGGAAATCACTATCATCTCTATTACAGATTCCAAAACTCGAGCTGACCGGATCACCGCAGTACGGATACGGCGTATCGGTACAGCTCTTCAGGATGAAACGGAAACGTGATCGATACACATGCCCACACACAATCACAGCGCATGCAATTTGGGCTTACCTATAAATACACAATTTATTCATTTATGTGTGCGCCTGTTTGCGCGTGTTTGGAGCGGTTTGGCTGTACAGCCTTTTGTATGTATCAGTATGTAGAAGTTTCTGGAGTTTGAAGATAAGCCTCACAGTTTAATAAGTGCATAATACTTCATCTACATATAACTAAAAAAATGGCCTCAGAGGGCCAAACAAACTGTCAGCCTTTGTATTGATTTCTCATGCGGCTTCTAACGCCGGCGTCGATGTTGCACATTTCAATGTCATTTCCGACATAAGACTTTACAATCATATGTAAAAAAAAAGAAAAAAAAAAACAGAAACACCATAGGACCTTCAAACAAGTAAAATCCCCAACATCCGGGGCAAAAACAAACCGCCTCCCCAAATTTGGGGGCATATACTAGTTGCATCATATGTATCAAGATTCCTGATATAACCTGATATAACTGTATTGATTATGTATTAATGTAGCACATAACCTCAAGACAAACGCGTTGGAGGAAAAGTCTCATGATCGGGTTTCCTATCTTTTTTTTTTTTCTCTTCTAGTCATGAAACAGGGCCATCATCATCATCACACCACTCGTCCACCCACACACTTCTCCTGATCCCCTGGTTGGTACAGCATGCGATACAACCATAAATACTTCGTTTAGATTCCAGGCTTGCCCTACATACATACGGGGACCGGCCTGTGAAGGGTCGCTTCAAAGTCCATCCGGCGAATCCGATCAGGCCTTTCTCCCGGGATCGGATTGAAATCGAAAACCAGCGTGCAGCTCGTTGCACCTGCAATAGCCCTTCTTGCATTCGATCCATGATCGAGCCTGGAGTGGTACATTCAACTCCGCCGTCCCCGTGCGCGTAAACCTCCCGCGCCAGCTTCAGAAAGGAAATTGATTGTCAAGTCGAACCCAGCATATCCTTTTTTTTGACTCCTTTCAAGAGGTCTACATGTGTGATATCGTCATCCTACCCGGTAGATCGAGGGCCTACAAGACTGCGGTTGTTACGTATTTATGTCCATCTTGATCACTCACAGCAAGGACGAATAAGTCTATAACCTTCCATAAGGTCCTCACAGCAGGCAGACAGTCCCCTCCGGCTCGGTTTCATCAAATATTTTTTTTTTTTTGACCAGAGACAAAGGAAAGGCCCCTCATCCCGACAGTTCTTCCTTGATACAAACTTGATTGCTTGAAATCTTGATCGACCTTACACACATATCACACACTCACACACACATTATACATAGCTGGGTACACCCGACGGCTACCCGACGAGACGAGTGCACGTTGCATGTGCCATATCACCGTCAACTTGAACACCCAAAAAAAAACCAGTCCCACACTCTGCAGACGAAACACGCCTGTCATTAATACTCTTTCTCTTTCACTTCCCATAAAGAATACATCGTCCCGGACTGCGATCCACAGATCCTGAGATTTGTTTCGATAGCCGGTCCTCGAGCTGGGTGGATCATCCGACTGTACCAGGCCTTCCGTCCCGTTTGAGCTCAGTAACCGAAAGCTTATTAAGCCCCTCATCGAACCCGATCGATCACCCCGACCACTCAACCTCCGCCACCCTTCCCAATCCCAGCCTACAACCAAAACCTCCAAGAACCACCGCCAGACACCACAAACTTCAATCGACCCCACACACATACAACAAATACACTTACAGATATCTATCTCAAAAAACCCCCACACAACATCTCATATCTTATCATCACTTTGTCTCCGACCAAGCCCACCCGCGTATTGTATTGCCAGTCTTGAGTCTCAAGCGAAACTTGTTGATCCTTGATTGACATCTTACCAAGAAACCTTCTTGATTTAATATTTATTGATTCATTTATTTGCTCATTTACGTAAAGCAATTGTTGTTGTAACAAAGGGGATCATCGTCAATATCCTCAAACCATTTCCAGTCCAGGCCGACACTCCAAGCTTGCCTTCAAGCTTTCAATCGGTCAATCGACTCACTCGCCGCCGTTCAAGAACCACCACCGCGCTCGAGCCTGTCAAAGAATCCCACCCACCCCAGCAGCACGGCACCAAACTTGGCAGGGATCTCGTGACGCAGAGCGAGCAAAGCTCCTAAACCATTCACCCCACCACCACCACCACCCCTTTCTTTTTTCTTTTTTCTTTTTTTTTCGAATCTTGCCAGTTCCGAATCCTAGATTGCATCTCCATATACAGTCTCATCCAGTCTATCCCATCGTTCATCCCCGCCTTGAAACCCCTTCGAGACGGCTGAGTCAGTCGATCGCCAAAAAGCCGCTTAGTAGCAGCAGCAAACTGTAGCAGCTGTTCCGGCGGTGCTTTAGAGTCAGCCAACCCTTACCAATCCACTCCAGACTGCCCAACCCCCCACTCAGCTCCCCGATGTCCGCCACCACCCTGACTCAGACGGCGATCAAAACCCAGTGGGTGACGACTGGCTATCGTCATCAGCCTCTGCTCGTCTCCACCCCCTGCATCATCCCACCTCCGACTGCCGAACAGAAGCGGAAGGCCCCACCGGTCCGCTGCTCGGCCCGCCTCATCAGCCAGAGCAGCTCCCCCTCCATCCCGCCGGCCGCTGCCCCAACGACCCCGAGGAGTAAACGCCGACGAGCGAGTACGAAGAACACCAGAGTCTGTCCGAATCCACACACCGACCAGCTCGGGCTGTCGGGCGGGAGCACCGCCTTCGGAGACTCGGGCACCCATTCAGTTCTGCTCGATCGGCCCCAGCCATCCACCCATCCTGCGCCGGGCTCACCACGTAAGTTCGACCGCCATAGAATGTTATGTAATCTTAAGCTTCTCAAAGTTGGCCCATTGCGCCTAGGATGTACAACAAGAAACTTCTTGTATCTCCTCATCCAAGCTTATCCATACACCTACCACCGTCCGTCGATCAGTCTGGGCCGCTTCCAGAGTGCTGGCTCGCACATAAATCTTCATACACAAATATTCATGTATATGTATGTATCCCTCGAGCTGCCCATTCTGGACGGTATCAATCGTATATCTGGGTCCGGCTGTAGATCCCTGTATAGTGAACACCGCTCAAGTGTGTTGGAGCATGGTTTGATGGTTATTATATATACTTGATCATCAAGAAACTGTCCCCAATACACATGCAACAGTGTCATCAGCTCGATTGACTCACTGGCAAGGGAAAAAAAAACAACTGGTTGAGTTCCGCATGGGCTTCATCTCACCAGTCTGTTCCTTGCTGCCCTCGCAAAGATAACCAATCTGGTCCCATTGTTTCTCAATCAATTATGACGATGAAATCCTAATACATAAATATACTGACGCCTTCCCTGCTTACTCCCAGTTCAACAGAAACCTTTCCCGTCCTTACAACCCCTTCAAGCCGTGCCGCCGATCGCAGATAAACTCAGCCCACCACTGCCAAGCCTTTCCTTCACCTTTCTTCCAGCGCCTCACCTTGGAAAACCCTCGATCCTCTCCTTCCCAAAGACACCCATCCCCTCCGACTTGGTCTTTCACTTCCCCCAATCCGTCCCTGCACGCCACCTTCCCCCTCCGCATCCTAGCACCCGCCACTTGATCTCCCTTCCCTCACATTCTCAGTCGCATCAAGACCATCATCGATTGACACCGCATCAATCCGTATCCTATCGCTCACAGCCTCTTCCCACCTGGTCTGCGGCGCCTCAACCCCACTTGACTCGAAGCAAACGTCGGCTGGCCTTGCCTGAAGCGCACCACGTTCGTTCCAAGAAACTCAAGCTTCACCATTCGTTCTTTCGATCTCCTCAGGTGCTCTATCCAGTGGACTACTCACTGAGAACTACAGCACCATCAGCAATGTCCTCTCCGTCCAAGACTATCCAGAATCCCAAGTGGCTTCACACCTCCGCCGCCGCCGAGGGTCAGCCAAGCAAAATGCGTCCTCACGAGGCCCAATGTACTGGTAACCCGGAAAATTGGGGTCCGATGCCCAACAATAGGCGCTCGTTTTCCCCACGGTCTCCTTTGAACAGCTCTCCCCTCTCTAAGACGTCCCCTCCGGCCAAATCACATCGATCATCCCCGCCCGCTTCGACTGGTGGCTCGCAAGCAGCTCCTTTGAAGGCGCAGCTCATGGCCGTCTTACGGATGCACTCTAACCTTCAGCCTGGTGAAGCAGCCCTCCGACTGAAAAAATGGGTGATTTGGAACTGTAAGTTGCCGATTCTACTCCATTGCATAACTTGCATGAATATAGATTGACTTTTCTCATTACCCTGATTTTTTTCAGCCTGGGTACGAGGTCGTGCACAGATGCGCTTCTATCCGATCGTGAGTCCGAACCCACCGAACCCAAGGATAATGGCCCCATCACCATCTCGAGCAGCCAGTCCGGCCAGCTCATCAGCTCGCGACGGGTGGACCGGCAATGAGGTGTTCGACGATAATGGAGATTTGATTTGTGAAGAGGAGGAGGAGAAGTCTCAGAAGAAGGCAGAACAGAAGAACCGATCATCACGATCTTCAACCCGACAAGCCGTTGAAAGAGCGCCGTTGCCGGCGACCAGAACTGAATCTCCGTCGCCGCGCAAGAGTCACACCATCATCAAACTCAAGATCCCCTCGAGGAACTCCACCCCTCGGCAGTACCCACTCCAACCCACCCCGCCTGACTCTCCCGTCTCCCCTAGTCACCCACAACATGCCCAGAAGAACAAATCTCCTGACAAATCTCCTGACCAATCTGTCACCCCCACCGCCACCCACAGACCTCTCACCCCTCCACCATCGCCTCCTAACTGAAGAGCAATCGGCCCCATCGCTTTGCTTGCGTGTTGTTTCTTGTTGTCTCGAAAGCTCGGGCGGAATCGCAATTGGGTTTCACTTTTTTCTCATTTCTTCATAACTTATCATTCTCATCCTCTTTGGCTTCTCCTTATCTCTTTTTTTTTTTTTGG